TAGTTCTTTGAGCCCATCCACTCCAGTGGCAACGGTTTGGCAAAGGGTGAGGAGCTTTAGGAACTCCTCTAAACCTCCTTCAATCTACATCTTACCTGATGGCCTAAGCCATAAGTTCTTTACCAACATTGCTCCTATTTATGTTCCCTGTGAAGATGAGTGTTGTTGGGGACCGTGTGAAGACTCACATGACCCCCTCGACATGAAGTTCACAGTGGAAGAGCTGCAAACGGTGCTTAATCACGTGAAAGACTCTGCACCTGGTATTGACGGGTTTCCTTACTCCTTCCTCGCAAAAGCAGGAGTCAAAACTAAACAATACTACCTTGACTTAGTCAATTTCTGTTTTATTTTTGGCTATATTCCTCCTACGTGGAAGGTTCAGGTTGTTATGCCGCTGTTAAAAGCTGGTAAAGATTCTGGTGATCATTCGTCCTACCGACCTATTGCGCTATCGTCCGTCCTTATTAAAATCCTAGAACACCTTGTAAAAAACCGATTGGAATGGTTGGTGGAAGGCCAGGGACTGCTGCCGACGACTCAATTCGGCTTTAGAAAGGGCTTGGGTACGGCGGATAGTGTGGGCACCCTCACATCGGCCATCCGACTGGCCCTTAGCAGGGGTGAGTCGTTGGTTGCGGTCTTCTTGGATGTCTCGGCCGCTTATGACTCGGTTCTCCTACCCCTTCTCAGGCAAAAGCTGCAAAAGCTGAGAATCCCGAGTAGGATTTGCCAGATTATAAGCCATATCCTCTCCAACCGTACCCTCCAATTAAGGACTCCTGGGGATAGTCCAGTACAGAGAACTGCCTGGAAGGGATTACCCCAGGGATCAGTCCTTAGTCCCATCCTCTTTAATATTTACACCCATGACCTTCCTTCCTGTTTAAATTATGACTGCAATATCCTACAATACGCTGACGATATCGCACTAATGATCACCAACAGTTCTATAACGGACGCCGCCCGCTCCATGAATGTCTCTTTGTCCTCATTAAACCAGTGGCTACTTAATCATGGGTTATGTTTGAGCGCCCCAAAAAGCTCGGCTGTAATTTTTACGCGTAGACGACGGTATCCAGATATCCTCATAGAAATAGACGGTCAGGCAATTCCGATCAGCAACAAAGCTAGATTCCTAGGTGTGATTCTTGATTGTAGGATGTCGGGGTTGGATCACGTAGACGCCGTTGTCACAAGGTGTGAACGGTCAGTAGCTGTACTCAGAGCACTGGCTGGAGTATGGTGGGGTGCCAACCCCTTTACATTGAAGCTCATATATAATGCATTGGTCAGAAGCGTAATGGATTATTGCAGCTTCCTTATGGCACCTTGCAATAAGGAAGCTTTTAAAAAACTTGATTCCATTCAGGCCAAATGCCTTAGAATAATTATTGGAGCTATGAAGTCGTCCCCTATAAATGCTCTTCAGGTCGAATGTGCAGAGCCCCCCCTCGACCTTCGGAGACAATACCTAGCAGACCGTTTCGTTTCGAAAGTCCTTTCCCTTTCATCGCATCCCTTACTTCCGATCTTGGATCAGATCCACTGCTCCTATAATTCCTCTCCGTACTGGAACAATAAGCCTGTCCCTCCTGTGATTGTTAGGTACAGAGAACTTAAAAACCTCTCTGCACCCATCAGTCAATATCCTGTACTTCCGGTCTTTTCTTCTGCATATGATGTTATCCACTTCAGGCCAAGCGTTGTCCTAGAACTAGGCATTGCAAAAGCATCAGTGAACGCTAATGAAAAATTTAAATGCGCACTGAGCAATTTCTGGAGTGGCTGGAATTTGTTCTACACAGATGCTTCTAAACTGACTCCTGAAGGATGCACTGGAGTAGCAGCATATTATCAGAACTCAAGGATCGCTTTGTTAGCCAAATATCCCTCGGAGGCTTCTGTGTTTACTGGTGAATGTGCTGCTATTCTGGAGTCCATAAAATTTATCAGAGCCCACAACCTAAGAAATTCGGTCATCTTCTCGGACTCTAGAAGCAGTCTGCAAGCTCTTGGCCAAGACCAGCTTCACTCCAGAACCTATAGTAGCTTAATTGTAGAAATAAAATCTCTACTTTTTGCGTGTCATGAAGATGGCTTAAAAATAGAAATCGCTTGGATACCTGGTCACTCTGGCATATGTGGTAATGAATGTGCGGATAAGTTGGCAAAGTTTGCGGCCTCCAACATTGTGGAAAACCAACATAACGTTGTGTACGGGTATGATATACGAGCGGATACAAAACACAAGCTATTCAAATCTTGGGCTGCAGTGTGGGTGGACTCTTCCAAACGGAAAGGTGCCTATTATGCCAATATCCAGCCTGACATCCAGCGGAAACCTTGGTTTTGCAGATATATCAAACTCCCCCGACACACTGTTACAACTTTGTGCAGACTCAGACTTGGCCATTGCAGCAGTCCGGTCTTCCTCAAAAAGATCCGCGTTCGTGACAGCTCGCTGTGTGAATGCGGTCTGGATGAGGGTACTTTGGACCATATTTTCTTTTCTTGTCCCTTAAACTCCCAATCCTTTGATCTCTACAAAAAACTCCCCAATATCCAAATCCCCCTTCCCATCAATTTCCACTCCCTCTTAACTCACTTTTCCAATAAACTAATAAGATGTCTATCTAAATTTATTAATGAAAATGATATAAAACTGTAAAGGTGTGTAATACTAAATAATAAATATTGTATATATATATATATATTTAAGTATATGTCAGTTATGTATGTCCTCTCATTTGTCTTTAGTATAATATTAAAATAGAATAGTTTAGGATAGGTAGCTATAGTTTTACTAACCCATGTGTTGTCCTTTCAGCTACTAACAACAAACTACCACAAAGTTAAAGTTCGACGGGCCCATAATCTGCCGTCACTACTTGACACTGGCAGTATAGTCGACAACATTAAATTGGAGACTCGGTTGCCATAAAGAAGAAAAAAAAAAAAAAAAAAAAAAATATTATTAATAAAAAAATGGATTCACGACTTTTTAAAATAAATAAATGAGTATAGAAATAAAATGAAATGTTTTTATAAATTGCTATGAGCACAAGTTTATGTAAGTATTGATAATATAAATAAATATGAGAATGCTGTATTCAGTGGTTTTATTTACTTTTCGGAGCGTTCCCTTATTCCCTACCATTTTGATATTTTAAGTCACGTTTTTTGTTCACGTAGGAAATATTCCCCGTAAAATTTACTAAGATTTTTTAGATAGACGACGTTTTTAGTTTCAAAATATCTAGCTCGGCTGCGCATCTTTTGAAGTGACATTTACAGTAACATCTGTTTAACGTCTTTTTCCTAAAAACCTATACGAAAGAATAATATTTTTTGTATTTCTTTACAGAGTTTGAAATGAAACACATTTTATCTGACACACAGTTATTTATTTGATTAATCTTTAGTTTGCTACATGTTTATAAATACGTGGGAGAGTCATGCTTCCACACGAATGGGCCATCTCAAATGCCGTGGAGTTAGGTTAAGTACCAGAGACCCTAACCATTCGTTTTGCCCGATCCAATTCCCCAAATTTTGAATCATATTGTAAAGTAAGTATAAAAAGGAGAACAGCTACACCAGATGACGTCCGTTTAATCAAAACAATAATTATTTATGTAGCTTTTGTGTCAGAATAGTGTTCATTGAATTTTTGACAGTAACAGTGATTACATAGATCTATTGCTAGTTTATCAAGATTTAAGTGTGAGTGTGCACTAAAACACAGAGCTATGGTTAGACAACTATAGCGTTGTTTCGCCGTGTGTTTCAATCCTAAAAAAGAAAATCCCGAAGAGAGAGGAAAACCTGGACTAATAATTTCTAATTAAAAGTTTGAAGTCGTCAATCCGGCTTTAGCTAGCGTAGTGATTAATGCTCAAACCTTCTCCGTGTGAGATGAAGCCTTTGCTCAATTATAGTTTGATACATGTGTGAAGAAGGCCCCTTGTCTAGTAACTGCACAAATATATTTATATAAATGAAACTACAATTTCCGATTTAATAAATGTTTATTTAAAGAATCATTCAATAAAGTACAGGACTAGAAATTAATTATTAAAAAAGTTCTTTTAAATTTTGCTATCACTTTAGGATTTTGATTTTGATGATGAGGTTCTGATAAAAGATAGAATTTTGTACAGGCCAATTTTTTTGTTTCAAGTTCCCAATCAATAATGTTTTTATTGATTTTATACCTATCGCCAAAATTTTTTGAATCGACAAACTCTTACAGTATTCTAAGAAAGGTATCAATTTTGAGAATTTAAAATAATTATTTAATTTAATTTGTCAGTCATTCAATTTTAAAACAAATTATTTGCACCGGTAATCGAGAGATCTACAATTTGTAAGAATTACATTTACTCTCATTTTTCATTACTAGATGGCGCTAGTGTAGAGTTAAGTCCTGTTTATCCGATAGAGATTAAAGAAAAAGTAACAAATACATAAATACTATAACGTAAATTCTTGACCATCAAAGTGGTTGGATGTAAAAAAACCTTACGCTTCATTGGCGACATCTAGCCGAGACACCACAGGAAACAAAAATACATTAATTTCAATAAATACAGGTTCAATAAATATAAAAGTCTAAAATTACTTACATAATTAAGTTATTATATTAATTTACAAGAAAACAGTTTCTAAAACATAGCAAACCATGAAGTAGGTGGCAAGTCTACAATTATACACCAGCCAAGAATCAAGATTATGAGCCCTTTTCTTTGACAAAAACAAAAGACTGGATACGCATTTGAAACTCCTCGGGCATTACGGGCGACGCATATTGCTTACCATCAGGTAAAATCCGCAAATTCTTTTGCCGTCGTATCACATAAAAAGACTGCGCAATCCGGCGCAAAATTGTCGCTTTTCCTTGAGCGAATTTTAAACGGTAGCGTCCATTGTAAGCTGGTGCGACCGCTTACAACTAAACATTACGAATTGACGTTAGCGTTGGTATTTTAGATGGTCTTTTAGTCTTCTTCCTCATCGTACTCTCCAACCTCATCAGTGTAGGTGAACGCGGAATAATCAGTCACTCCTGTATATTCCGTCATGGCATCGTCAACTGGCGGTTCTGTGAAGAAAAAATCGATTGGTAATTTTTTTCTAATATTAATTTTCCCGCAAATCCTTTTGCTTGGAATAGTGACTTTCTGCAGATTTTTGGTTAACAAACTATGCTATGTCCTCTCTCGAGTTCCAAAATACGTCTGTACCAAATTTCACAGAAATCGGCCCAGTAGTTTAGGCGTGAAGAAAAGACAAAAAGACAGACAGAGAGAGTTACTTTCGAATTAATATTAACTAATATTTAATATTAGTTTGGATTAAAAATACATAGCTCATGTTAACCTGGCCGAAAGAAACATTCCTTTAGTGTAAGGATTATTGTATCGCAAAATGTGTTGTTGCCTGGACCAATTGTAACCCTTTTTGGAAAATGGCTACTCTTTCGTCGTAAGCGCGATGGAAGGACACCGGTTGGGGTAAGTCGCTTCTACATTCAGAGATGGATTGACGAACAATGCACAAAATAAGTTTTCAAACTCCGAACAGTCGAAGATTATTTCGGAATCCAGTTTTAAGAAGATTATTTCTGAGTCCAGAAATTGGACTGTAAAGACAACAGTACCTTCAGGATCAACTTTGGCTTCATGATCACACTTGCATTTCTTCAACTCCTCGTATTCCCTCAGCTCTGATGGGAGCAGCTTTTTCTTCTCTTCGTCTGGCAACGAAACTGTGGCAGAAGAATCAATCATCAGCATGATAATCATCATTCAGGTGAGGAATGTGGCATTGTCGAGGACTTACAACATTTATTAATGGAATGTGTCCAGTATGAGTCCGGAATAAAATTAAATGACTTGGTTTGGCCCCTGAATTTGAACTGAACTGATGTGATGTGATCCAATGGCGACGATGCGCAAGTTTCGTTCAATTTTATGGCCTATATTATTTGACAGTATTATTGTTTAGGATTTTATGGTGGGACTGGCATACGCTTTGCGTAAAATCACCTAAAATAAAATTAAGAAAGAAAGAAAAAGGATCATTCAGCATCAAGATGTCCACTGCTTATTTTTGCCAAATACCTATGTGTGATTACCAGAGGTTCAACCATCCTTCCAAAGGCCGTCAACGACCTAGTTCCACTGGTATTTCGAATTGCCACGGACAGCATCGATAGCTTACCATCAGGGTCCGTTCCGTCTACTCCATTGCCCCTCTATGCAATTAAAAAGGCGTCCATCTTAAGAAGGGCTTGTCGCAATTATCTGAATGAGCAGTTGACTTCAGGATCATAACTATGTCGCGGAAGCTGTGCTGAAGGTTTTTCCATGTGATAGGTTAGAAAACGAGTATGACGGATTAGCTGACGGAAAGCACCTGGCATCTCCCATGGACATATGGAACACTAGAGGAGTTAAGAACGTTGCCGGCATTTGGGGATTAGTGTTTTGGAGTAATAGGGATTGAAGAATGTTTGCTGTAAGGTCATATTCACTTGATGCACTAGGGCTCTTTAATATCCAATCTACCTAGCTGGAGGGCACTCTATATTACATTCGCCTCGACGCAGTCTCCACTCCAAAACACACTACCCCAACAGTCATCAGTTCTTCGACGTGGGACTGGCCCATCTCTTCAGCTTGCTATTCCTACCGTACTTACCATAGCTGCATGGGTCGGCTCGACCGGAGTGATACCACGTTTTCACAGAAAACCGGCGTAAAGCAACTACAGCGTTGTATTTCGCCGTTTGAGTGAGGTTACCGGAGGCCCAATCCCTACACCTCCTCACATCCCTTCTCAATCATTACGTATCCGAAACCCTTATCTCCATAGGGCTAACAACACATTCGTAACTCCTTTAGTGTTTTGCGGGTGTCCATGGGCGGCGGCGTTTGCTTACCATCAGGTAATCCGACTGCTCGTTTGCCGGCCTATAACAAAAAAAACTTACCAACGTCGAATTGCGGGTTGCTTGGACTGCCTGTCACGTCAACGTCGCAAAGGCATATAGCACCGTGAATCTTCAGAGCTTCTTCCTCAGCCTTCCTTCTGATTGCCTCTGGCAGTTCTTTGGGACCTTTATGGAAAATTTTAGTTAAGTATTTTTTACATCTTTTAGGGAAACTGTGATATACCTTCAAGTGTGGAAGAGCCATGCTTCGGCACGAATGGGTCGGCTCGACCGGAGTGATACCACGGCCTCACAGAAAACCGGCGTTAAATAACCACAGCGTTGTGTTTCGCCGTGTGAGTGAGGTTACCGGAGGCCCAATCCTTCCCCTCCCCCAATCCCTCCTAAATCCCTAATCCCTAAAAGGTCGGCAACGCACTCGTAACTCCTCCGTTGCGAGTGTCCATGGGCAGCGGTGATTGCTTACCATCAGGTAATCTGTCTGCTTGTTTGCCGACCTATTAAATAAAAAAGAAAAATAAAAAAAAAATACCTACGTCGCTTACGACGTAGGTATTTTTTTTTTATTTTTCTTTAAACAAAAGACCCGTTTCATAGCCTGATAAGTCTTAGACTTATCAGGCTATGAAACGGGTCTTTTGTTTTTTTAAATATAGAAAGTACTTTTTTTCGTAAACGTCGCATCGATGGTGTCCTAAGCGTCAACATTAGCTCATGACGATACCAGCGTACGTGTGTCACTGGACAGTGAACCTCGCTACCATCAATTGACTGGACAATATCTACACTACATGAGTCGCTGTTTACATGTCAACATTAGCTCATGACGATACCAGCGTACGTGTGTCACTGGACAGTGAACCTCGCTACCATCAGTTGACTGGACAATCTCTACACTACATGAGTCGCTGTTTACATGTCAACATTAGCTCATGACGATACCAGCGTACGTGTGTCACTGGACAGTGAACCTCGCTACCATCAGTTGACTGGACAATCTCTACACTACATGAGCAGATCGGATTTAACTTACAATCAGTAGCGTGGATTGGTTCCTTGGTTCTTTCAAGAGCATCGGTATAAATCTTCGTCATAAAGTGGTGATATTTGTGTTCTTTGACGGGTAGAACTTTAGCTTTAGTAGCCAAATCGAATACTGGGCAAAAATATTAATATTAATGTTTTATCTGAACACCTAGTTTATTATGCGAAAGTCTACCAAAGACCTATGGGTTTAGAAGATAAAATAGCTGATTGGAAATTGTTCTAACTCTTCATAATTATTGCTTACTATACTTACACCCGGTTTCTGAAAGGCTTGTGAACGCTAAAATTAACTAATCTCCTGTTAAATCTCTTGTCAAGTCATCTGATTGGTCGTTGATAATTCAGTCAACCAATCAGATGACTTGACAAGAGATTAAATTGATTTTAACATTGATCGGCCGTTCGGAAACTGGGGGTGAATCTAACAGCTCGTTTTTACCATATTTTGCAAGCCATTACCTAACTGACAAAATGTATACGGCCACTATAAGTATTATATATCTGTAACAACTAATTTATAAACACGTACATCAAGAGCTGATTTTTCAATGGTTAGATAAAAGTTACCTGGGGAATAATTATGATGCTGTCGCGTCAGAATGTTTGTATAAGACAGTGACAGCAACAATTTTATTCTTCAGATAACATTTATTTGACTATTGAAAAATCAGCCCTAAATGATTTGATTTGATCGAACAGCAATTTTAACCATTTAGCTTGCGACATATGCATTAGGTTTTCAGAGGGCCAATCCTTCTAAATCCTTATGGAAACCAAGGTCAGGTTTATGATAGAGCGTTGCCGAGTTTCTGTCTTATTTGTAATCCCTTAGTCGGCTCTAAAGAGAGCTTTGAAAAAAACCTATTACTCAAGAATGGAAAGAAACTCACTGCATTCAACAATATGTTTAGCATCCAGGGTTACTTCCATGCGTTCCTCGCATATGCCTCTGATCTCACGTCGAGTTTCCTGAGATTCTTTTCGGTTGCTTCTCGATAACTTCACAACTGGATTGTGGAATACAAATTGTTGATATACACAGCTTACTAATATTATAAATGCGAAAGTTATGATGTTCGGATGTTTGTTACTCAATCACGCCAAAACAGAAACGGATCCGAAGCCGCAGGCGGAAGTTAGTAAGTCCATACTAATATTATAAAGAGGTAAAATTTGTAAGTTTGTATGTAGGGGGTAATTTTTGGTACCGCTGGTCGGATTGCCAAAATTCTTTCACTGATAGATAGCTACAATGTTCCTAAGTGCTATAGGCTATAAAATATCACGCTCCAATCAAATGGAGCCTAGCAGCGGGTGAAACCGCGCGAGAGTAGCTTGTGCTATAAAAACGTCATGGTGTCCAGAACGTTCAATCACCAGCATCTCATGCATGAGGGTGCGGTTTCGAAAGCAAGTACCAATTGTGATTTTCTCCAAGTTATATGTACTTTCTATGATTATTTAGACAATACTGACATATGGTAAAGGAAAACATCGTGAGAAAACCTGGACTTATAATTTCTAAAAGTTTGAAATCGCCAACCCGCCTTGAGCATGCGTGGTGGTTAATGCTCAAAACAACTCCGTATGAGAAGAGGCCTTTGCTCAGCAGTGGGCTCTTATAGGCTGATGATGTGTGTGTTCAGATAAATATACTCTTAGACTGTATCCTGTCATAAACTATGTGGAAGATGTGTCCAGGTTTGGATAAACCTTAGCCATTTTTCTTACTTACCATTATCAAGTAGATCCGTAAGCATACAGCGCATTTCATGAGATAATGGAATCCTTTCTGCAAATGACTTCTCCGGAGCTTTGGGTCGAGCTGTGAAGATTAAAAATGAGTTTATTATTAAGTGTGAGAGAGCCATGCTTCGGCACGAATGGGTCGGCTCGACCGCAGTCATACCACGGCCTCACGGAAAACCGGCAAGAAATAACCACAGCGTTGTGTTTTGCCGTGTAAGTGAGGTTATTGGAGAATCCCTAATCCCCAAAAGGTCGGCAAAGCACTCGTAACTCCTCTGTTGTTGCGGGTGTCCATGGGCGTCGCTGATTGCTTACCATCAGGTAATCCGTATGCTCGATTGCTAATGTATAACCTAAAAAATAGTTTCCTTGGTGGCTGCCCTTGCGATATCTCTCCACCTGTTTCTGTTAGCGGCATTCCTAGCGCACTCCACTATTGCGACGGATGACCATTAGGACGCTGACCGAAGTCTAGGGCCTCCCCAAAAGGCCAACAACAATCTTGTAACTCTTCATATGACTGGCTGGTGATGTGTTTCGCCCTTTGAGTGAGCGATTACTGGATACCTCTTAAATCCGAGGGATTCCTTCCCCTAGCCCTCAGAGCTTACCATCAAACGATCCACCAGGGTGTTTGCCAGAAGAACGTCATGGAAGAACAAGTAATGATAGGTACTAGCCTCTGGATATTTTCCAGCGCGGATCGTAGCGTGATGCTGTCTCCTTCGGCTCGACCTTTATAGGACACTTGCGACATCTACAATTCTCATCTAGAATGTCGCCGCAACGCAAACAGTGATCTATCATGTGTGAAAAAATAAAGAAATTTGCAGAAAACGTTAAAAATACTGTACAAGCTTGTTTTTATTTTATATAGATTACTAGGAGATCCAGTCACGCGTTGCTGTGGCTAAGGTAAATAATATTGTGACTATAAATTGAGATGTAAGCTATCCTATCTTTCAAGTTGGATCAAAATGCACACGGAATGCAAATCAAATTTAAAATCGGTTTAGTAGTTTAGGAGTCCATCGCAGACAAACACGTGACACGAAATTTTCATATATAAAGATTACTTAGTCAGTAAAAATTAATCATGCTTCGGTACGAATGGGTCGGCTCGACCGGAGTGACACCACGGCTTCACAGAAAACTGCCGTAAAACAACCACAGCGTTGTATTTCGCCGTGTGAGTGAGGTTCCTCCTCTTCCTCGCGTCGGTTTTCCTTCAGTGCTGAAGAGGAGTGAGGTTACCGGGTTCCAAATTTTTTGGCCTTTTCTCCCATCCCTCCCTAATCCTTAAATCTCCTAAACCCTGATTCCCAAAAGACGGCCAATGCATTCTTTTAGTATTGTTAGTGTCCATACGCGGCACTGATTGCTTACCATCAGGTAAAACGTCTGCTAGTTTGCCACAGTATCACTTAAAACAATGAAATTTAAACTATAACTAAGCATGGTTTCAATCTATACCACTGACATACGATGAAGGAAAACATCGTGAGGAAACTTAGACTTAAAATTTCTAATTATAAGTTTGAAATCGGCAATCCGCATTGAGCAAGCGTGGTGGTTAATGCTCAAACCTTCTCCAAGAGGCCTTTGCTCAACAGTGGGCACTTTAAGGCTGATGATGATGATGAGGGCAGCGCGAGGTCTTCTCTGGATCTACTAAGTCAATACAACAAACGCCTCACCTTTCTTGGCTTCAGCACTATTAATAAGTCCAAAGATGGTGTTCCTAGCTGTCTCCAAATTGGAATTCTGCAGCTTATTAATGCGTTGTCTGGCCGCAGCCTTCGTGGCGTGCGGTAGAAGGAACTGTTGCACGAGTTCAGCTACAATTTCATTTGTGGTAGACGTCGTCCTGATGAAAGAGAATTGGGATTAGATGGAGTCAGTGAAAACCGACGTGAAAGCGCCACAGAGGGGAAACATCACACTGAGGTTACCGGAGGCCCAATCCTTTTCCTCCCCAAATCCTTAATCTCCAAAAAGTCGGCAATCCACACGCGGGGTGCGGGGTAATCGCAATGAAGCACCGCGACTTCGGTATTGAGCAGGAAAAGGAACGGGGGTGTTTTAAGTCATTGACTGCCAACAGATTGCTGTTGAGGGTAAATCCTCCACTAGTGTGGCCCACATGTCGTTCCCCGTGGCGTTCAAAGGGTTAATCAGTGAGTGTCTGACTCTCCCTCCTGCCCGACCCTGGGCGGGAGAAGTTATTTGATGATTTTGCGCTCACAAAAAAAAAACACGTAAGTTTTCCGTCGTAGCGGTTGTCTATAGCATTCGCTGATTGCCTGACATCAGGTTATCCGTCTGGTCGTTTGCCTGCTTTTCACATAAGAAAAGTAACAAACACAGGTAAGAAATAATAGCTAAACTGTTTCACCTGCTGTCTACATTAGTAGTTATCTTGGATATTAATCGATATATTAAAGATACTAGCTGGCAGAGCATTCTAGCAGAGCTTCGGGTGCATTTCTGATACTAAATTGCTACACTAATGCCCGATTTCTGAAAGCCCGATCAATGTTAAAATCAACAAACTAGGTGTCAAGTCTCTTGTCAAGACATCTGATTGGTTGTTGATAATTCAGTCAACCAATCAGATGTCTTGACAAGAGATTAAATTGATTTTAACATTGATAGGCCTGTCGGAAACCGGGTGTAAGTAATAGATGTTATTATACATATAAACCGACCTCTGCAAACACTATCTATCAAAAAACCGCATTAAAATACGTTGCATGGTTATAAATATTTAAGTACTTCATCTTCTTCCTGCCCTTGTCCCGTTTTATTTGGGGTCGGCGCAATATGTTTTTTTCTTACATTCTGTCCTGTCACCCGTCACGCTATCACGCTCGTCACGCTATCCATATTTTCTTTGGTCTCCCTCTCCCTCTCCATCCATCCACATTTAAGATTTAAGTATACATATGAACATAGGAACAGAGAAGATAAAGCGACTTTGTTTTATACCAAGTAGCGATGAGGATGCAATAAAAATGACTTACAAATCATCAGTATCAATGAGCGTATCACTGTATTTCTGTGCTTGGGCTTCCGCCCTTTGGGTGGCTTCTACTTCCGCGGCCAATTCCACGCCCTCATCTATAATCTCTTGAAGATAGGCCTCCACTGTCTCTTGGGTCACTCCTAGGATCTGTGAAGGAGAAAAGAAACTTGTGGGTGAAGTATATGCAAAATGCTTAGAATTTCAATGTAATAATGCGCTTTTTTTTTGTGAGGGGAAAATCATCAAATGACTTCTCCCGCCCAGGGCCGGGCGAGAGGGAGTGTCAGACTCTTACTGACTAAAAACCCCCCTGTTCCTTCTCCTGCTCTGGACCGAGGTCGCGGTGCCTCATTGCGCTTACCCCGCAACCCCGGCTGAACATCAGCCCTATAGGGTCCCGACTGTGGTGGTCTATTGGCTCTTTGAGGCGCGCGCGGAACGCTACGCGCCGTAAATGTAATAATGCGCTAATGATGCTGTTTGGGACTGCCTCGATGGTTTAGCGCATCTGAAATGGTTGCAGAAGCCAGCACAGATGACTTTTATGCCATTATACGCAAGCGATGTGCATCCATGATGCGACGATTGAGGGACAGTCCTAACGGTATACTAGCTATAGGGCAGACAAAATTGATGGCCCGTTTATGGACAAAATTGATGGCCCGTTTATTAGACACTGGGCAAGTAGACATGTGCGTCCTGCTGTCCATGACAATAATTGATAAACAATTATTAAAATATTAACTAATGTTTTCTACCCTATGGATTTCTGGTCTCAAATAAAGAATTATATTTTATTTTGTATTATTTCTTTACTGTTGCATTTTCTACTTTAGTAAGTCGATGCTATGGTGCGGACTGAAAGGAACTGAAGCGTCTCCTTATCTGGGAATGCGTGAGGGAACTTGGTTGACTGAATGAACTTGGACTGCACGGTTGGTGCGGTGGCTGGGGAATTGGCTCCCGTGCAACGTGTCGCGGGTTCGATTCCTGCACGGAACAACACTTTGTGTCATCCACAAATTGTTGTTTCGGGTCTGGGTGTCATGTGTATGTGCCATTCTATGTTTGTAAACGCACCCACAACAAAGGAGAAAATCCTAAGGTTCTCACGCCCCAGTCGCCGCAGTTGGCGACGATCGAGAGACGATCTCCGGCCACAGTAAGCGCGGGTCTGCGGACGGCGAGTAAGGGTAGCTCGCCGCCCGACGAGAACCAGACACGAGCGTACGGCGCGTATAACCCGGACGCGATAACTTGAGACCTGCGTCTATGACGTCACTTTCAATGTACGGTGTGCAAAAATACCACGACGCGTCACGGTAATTTTTTTTTTGTTTAAGATTTGCTTGAGATTAAAATTAGGACTAAAATAAAATATTCTCGAAGGGGAAAATAATAATTATTAATAAAATAAATAAATAATAATATAATAATAATCTAGGAAAAATTAAAAACAGGTAATTAATTTGGTATGGGACTTGTAATCGTACACTGCCTAAAATAAATTATTTTTAATAGTTTTTGAATAAACAGTTAAATGAAACAAAATTCATCTTTTTTTAATATTTATTATTCATTATCACTATAACTTATTGCTTCTATTCCGTCCATCATATCTTCATTTTCACTTTCGCTCTCGCTCTCCGATGAGCTGGTTTCTTCTCCTCCGAAGGATATTATGAATTCTCTTTGATGCATTTCGCCCAATCTGTCTTTCTCCCAGTATTCTTTCTCTAATCTTTCGATATGGTTGACTTCTTTTTTCCAGTCGGAAGCCGTTATTGACTGTATTGCCTGTCTCGTCAAACCCTCTATCTCTTTTTCATATTGGTTGACATTTTTGGCTGCCACCCTTTGTTTTATTAAATTCCATATGTATTCGATTGGGTTCAAATCGCAATGGTAGGGTGGCAGCCGTAACACTTCGTGTCCATGCTCCCTCAGGAGTTCATCCACTATATATAGTTTTGGTGGTTTGTTCACAACAATTAAATGATAAAGTTCCGGTTTGGTCATATTTTCTTGAAATGGAATCTTGTTTTTTCTTAACCAACTCTGCATCTCTCCTTTAAGGGATGAACTCACGGGCGGTTTTTCTGACTGAGTAGAGTGGTAGGGAGCATTGTCTATAACAACGAGACTGTTGGGTTGCAAATTTGGGATTAATTTTTCGGTCAACCACTTTTTAAAATTATTTGTATTCATTTCGTGATGGTAGTCCCCGGTATTGCTTTTACATTTATAAAGTAATTCGGCACCGGGGACAAACCCATTTTCACCGCCAGCATGTACCAATATCCACCGCTGGCCTGGATTCTCATTTCTTTTTATGCTGGCGTCATTATTATTTTGCCAGCATTTACGAACAGTATAATGCGAGTGTATCCAGGTTTCATCTAAATAGATTACGGGTTTTTTGTCCGCTCCGAGTTCGCTATTTTCTTTTTTTCTTCGAAGATAGCGTGCTCTCCAGGCAGCAATGTCGGGTTTTTGCATTAATACTCGTCGTGCGTTTTTACATTTTTTAAACTTGTAGCCCAAGTAGTTCACCAGTATTCGTCGCAGCGTGGTCTTTTCTCCTATGAAACGAAATTAATACATATTAGAAGATTACTGTAAATGGGTGCTAAGAATACTAGAAGAATTAGAAATTATAATTAGAATATATATTAGAAGATTACTGTAAATTTCAATAATAATAAAATATAATATGTACCTGGAAAATTTATATCTGCTTTTGCAACAGCTAAAATCTTTTTCAATGTTGGGATTTCTTTCCGTACTGTGTAAAAACTGTCGACTATGTTTCTTAGAGCACACAGATCAAAACCGTCAAGTTCAATTTTGTTTGTCCTCTGTTTTTTTTTTTTCCTGGGGTTGATAGTTTGGGTATCGGTCTCGCTTCAGAAGTACTTGGACTTGGTTCAACAGTGTCATCGTCGGGAGAAATTATCGGAACTTTTTTCGCCTCGTTTTTTATTCTTAGCAGTGTTGCTTTTGATATGCCCGTTGCTGCACAAGCCCTCTTCAAAGCTTTGTCCACAGGAATAAGGTACGTCTTATTTGATTTTTCATCTTCAAAGTATTTCAAAACTTTTAAAGCAAGTGTCCTTGCTTGGCTATGTAACGTCTTTCCCCCCATCTTTTTAAAACAAAGACGGCGGACAGCGCTTGGGAACGCCTAAGCGTCTCAAAAAACTTAAAACACAACACAACGTCCAAACTTAACAATAAAACAACACAATTAACAATAACAGATAAAGTAACGTCCAACTTTAACTAAAAACAACAAAAGTCCAAACAAAACAACAAACGATTCTCAAAAATATCGAATGAAACTCCGAGACGCGTACTCGTAACAAAGATGCTATCGGTACTGAGCGTACATGGCGAGAGCGGGGCGCGGCGCGGGGAGTCGGGAGAGGGGCCGCATTCCAGCCGAGTCTCAAGTTATCGCGTCCGTGTTGTAGTGTTCCGCGATCCAGTAGACCACCGTAAATGGGGCCCAAACTTTCTATATTTTATTTTATTTTTATGTAGCATTACAATATCTGCTGCGTCAGCTAGCAACATGTATACGTTTCGAAAGGTCCCTTACCTGTTTAAACATCTCATCGTGTTCCCTTCTGCGATGCTCTTCTCGCTGTCTTCTACCAGCTTCTGCTGCTTCTCGCATCGTCTTTTCACGCACTATCGAAAGAAGAACAAGATGTCGGAAGTTGAAAGTCTACTTTTTATATTTATTATTATCAGGGAACAATGTTTTAATGTTTTCAGCCAGAGTTGTGGGTGAAAGCCCTGGCACTAAGCAGGAGAAGGAACGGAGTGGTTTTTAGTCAGTAAGAGTGTGACACTCTCACTCACCCCACCATTGGCGGGGTAAGATGTTTAATGAATTTCCCTCCTCAAAAAAAGGGACCTGTACAAATGTCACATTGGTACTTGCCAGGTTTCGAACCCCCACCCTCATGCATGTTAAGCGGGCGCCTTAACCTCTATACCACCACGACGCCGCTATCCCAAAATCCCATATTACTTACTCCCAAAAGACCGCCAATGTAAATCCTCTGGAGTTGCGTGTATAAGTCGCGACGCTGTTTGCTTACCATCAGGTGATCCGTCTGCTCGTCTGCAACCATTAACTCACAAGCAATTATCAGGAAGGCATGCTGTCTCCTCTCTTCCTTGAGTCTTCGGAGCTCCTTCTCCAAGAAGTCTAGAGCAGCAGACACTGCACCACCGCAGAGCTCGTCCACCAGTGCCGATATGGTGTCTTCCTGTTAATGGAAACCAGTTTATTTTTATATGAACATCCGGATTACCTGATGGTAAGCATTCAGCGCCACCCATGGAGACCCACAACAACAAAGGAGTTACGAGTGCGTTACCGACCTTTTAGGAATTTGGGAAGGATTAGACCTCCGGTAATCTCACTCCCACGGCGGAATAAAACACTGTAGTTATTTCACGCCGGTTCTCTGTGAGGCCGTGGAATTACTCCGGTCGAGCCGACCCATTCGTGTCGAAGCATGGCTCTCTCACACTTTAACAAAAATTTATCTCATCAACATCATCAAAACAACCAGATTTACTCTTTAGGAAACACAGACTCTGCAGTTCTCGGCAGATTGCCACTCTTGGAGAAAGCCGGCAAATTTCGCGTCTGACTTGAGCACAAAAGTTTTCGTACAAAATAAGTTTTTTTTTTTTTGTATTCCAACTCCCTTAAATAATTTGTTTTTGCCAAAAGAAATAGACAATCTGTTCAAATTTTAACTGTCTATGATTGCTTCGTGACATACAGTCCTAGGACAGATAAACGGATGGACAGACAGTAAGAGTCTAAGTAAAACGTAATCAGAATACTATACGGAATCCAAAAAAAAAAACTTCGGAGATAATTGGCGGTTGCTTCCAATACTAATAAAACGTGCCGCAAGTTCGATTCCCGCACGGAACAACTGTTTGTGCGATCCAGAAATTTTTGTTCCGGGTCTAGGTGATGTGTAGGTGAAATTGTATGTATGTAAATGCAGCCACGACACAGGAGAAAATCCTAATATGGGGCAACGTTTTGGAAAAAAAATAAGTCAAGAAAACCTACCCTGAGTTCTGTTTCCGTCCTCCTAGCATTGAACTCCCTGGCTTTCAGTTCCTCGTTAGCTATCCTGATTTTATCTTCCTTCTGAAGACCATGCGTGGTTTTCAACTCTTCAGTCAATTCCGCAGCACGGGTGCGACCTTCGTACATCTGCCCGAATATAATGTAACATATAAAATTCTCGTGTCACATTTTTCGTTGCCATACCTACTCCTCCGAAACGGCTTGCCAGATTTTGATAAAAAATTGCGCTTATCCGGTATCTATGAGAATCGGTCAACATCTTTTTTTCAGCCACTTAATATTAGGGATAGCTCAACCCTAAATTTTATTTTTTATTTTAAGACAAACATTTTTTACGATACAACATACAAAAATACATACAATCCTTCTACGATCAACCCTTATTTGTTATTTATTTATTTAATAATTTATGTACACACAAACAGCACAGAGGAAAATACATAAAAAAATAAGAGTACATAGGTGCTACTTATTCCTGTTGGAATTTCTTCCAGTAAACCTGAGACAGGAAATGTAATTAAAACAGACACAGTGTGTTACAAAAGTGAAAAAAAAAGAACTAACAAAACTAAAAAAAAGAAAAAAAAGTAAAAAAATATATATTACCTATTTGTTATCGGTAGTATTTGTTAACTAACGATAACAAATAGGTAATATATATTTTTTTACTTTTTTTTTCTTTTTTTTTAGTTTTGTTAGTTCTTTTTTTTTCACTTTATATATATATATATATTACCTATTTGTTATCGTTAGTTCTTATATATATATATATGATATAATATATATATATATATAATATAAATACTTAATATATAATAATAACAAAAAATAAGATACACATATAAATAAACGTATCTGTAAGTACTCATGAAGAAAGGTAATGGTCCTTAATTAGTTTTTTGAAGAGAGCGAGCGATTTAGCGTCACGAATGTTAGGCGGGAGAGAATTCCATAGTCTCACAGAATAAACGGTGAAAGAATAGGAGAAGAAGTCGGTATTATGAGGCACGATTTTAAGGTTGGACTTGAGATGAGAACGAGTTAGGACTTCAGGAGGACTCACCAAGGAGAAACGGTCACGGGGGTAAGCGGGATAAGTTGGATTGTAGAGGGAATTGTAGAGGAGACATAAAATGCGAGTGTTCCTGCGAAGACGGATAGGGAGCCACTTGAGCCTATTGCGGAATTCGGAGACATGATCATACTTCTTAAGACCGAATACAAAGCGGATACATAGATTTTGCAATCGCTCAAGTTTATTTAATAGCTCCTCAGTGGCATCAAGATAGCAAGCATCTGCATAGTCCATCAGAGGCATGATCAGCGCTTGGACAAGGTAAATCTTTATTTTCACAGGCAGCAGGGTCTGGAGGCGCCTCAGCGAATGAATAGAAAAATGAACCTTCCGACTGACTTCATTCACCTGGGCATCCCACGATAAATTCGAGTCAATGAGTACACCTAAGTTTTTAGCACTATCGGTAAATGGAATCGCTGCACCATTCAACCGCAATGGACCGAGGCCAGAGACGTCGAAAGTGTTACGATAATATCTGCTACCGATGATCATGGCCTGAGACTTGAGAGGATTGATTTGCAGGCCAAAAGATCTGGCCCACTCAGCAACACCATCCAAGTCATGATTCATGGCATCGATAGCAGAATGAGCTTCAGACATGCCGAAGTGACGGTACAGCTGCAAATCGTCCGCATAGAGATGGTAATTAGAAGAAATGACCCTGGCAACGGTATTGATAAAGATGGAGAAAAGCAGAGGAGAGAGGACGCCACCCTGAGGGACCCCGGTCGCAAGGTCGCACCAATCGGATAAGGTTTCCTCGAGGCGGACCCGCTGACGGCGACCCCGAAGATAAGACTCAAACCAGGCTAAAGAGGAAACAGAAAAATTATTGGCCTTCAGGACCCCCAACAGTATGTCAAAATTCACAGAGTTGAAGGCAGAACTGAAGTCCAACAGCACAAGAACAGTACTTAAGTGACTTGTTGTCCATGGCCCAGCGTATGTCATCGGTTACTTTGAGCAGTGCCGTGACAGTGCTGTGGCCGGGTTTTAATAGCCAAAACGGGTTAGTTTTTAATATATACATATTAATTTACTCAACTAATATGCCGATAGTTGTGTGTGCAAATGAGTTAGTCTCCAAAAGCCAATCACCTTAAGAGGCTGCCGTTAGAAGGATGGATTAAGGGCCTCATACAGGAAGGCAGTCCTGCTTGAAACGGCACCGTATTGTGAGCGGGCACGCTACCATAGCAGCGGTAAGACCCCTCTTTGAGGAGTGGCTTGAGAGACGCCACGGCGTCCTCACCTTCCGTCTGACGCAGGTGCTTACTGGGCACGACAGCTTCGGTAGGTTCCTGTTTCGGATTCAGCGGGAGGAAACGCCCGAGTGTCGTCATTGTGAGGACCACCTAGAGGATACGGTGGAGCATACGGTAGCGGTATGCCCTGCCTGGGCTGAGCACCGCCGTATCCTCAGGGAAGTGATCGGCGGCGGCGACCTCTCGCGCCCGGCCTTAGTCGAGGCCATGGTGCGGAGTGAGAGGAACTGGGACGCCGTCTCCTCCTTTTGTGAAGCGGTCATGCTCGCAAAGAGAGAGGCGGCCCGCGTGAGGGAGCAATCCTCCTCCTCACGCCCCAGCAGCCGCATCTGGCGACACTACGGGCGTCGGGGATCGAGGGACGATCTCCGGCCACCGTAAGCACGGGCCTGCGGTCGGCGAGTAAGGGAAGCTCGCCGCCCGACCAGAACCAGGCCCGAGCGTACGGCGCGTAGCGTTCCGCGCGCGCCTCAAAGAGCCATTCGACCACCACAGACGGGGCCCTAAAGTGCTGATGTTCAGCCGGGGTTGCGGGGTAAGCGCAATGAGGTACCGCGACCTCGGCACAGAGCAGGAGAAGGAACAGGGGGGTTTTTAGTCAGTAAGAGTCTGACACTCCCTCCTGCCCGGCCCTGAGCGGGAGAAGTAATTTGATGATTTTCCCCTCACAAAAAAAAACCGTATTGTGAGGAGATTTCTGTCTCTGAAGACCTAACCAACGGTAGCTTGGACCATGATCCCGCTGCCAGTTGGCTTCCATTTTAATATTATTATTTTTTACGTCTTTTAATACCAAAGGAGTTACTACAAGTGCGTTACCGTGTTTTGTGGCTTAGTAGGGTTTGAAGGATATTTGGGAATTGAGAATGGGGTGGTTTGAAGTTTCCAGTAACCTTATTTACACGGTGAACAAAAGCCAAGCGTTGTTTGACGCCGTAAGATTCCGTATCCCGATCTATACTTTTTTATAGCATACTTCGGCAACCGAGCAGACGGAATACCAATCGGCACCGCCCATGGACACTCGCTACACGCGTTGACGGCCTTTCGGGGATAAGGGTTACGGATATTTAAGTATTGAGAAGGGATGGAAGGAGAGGTACGGATTGGGCCTCCGGTAACCTCACTCACACAGCGAAACACAATGGTGTGGTTGATTAACGCCGGTATTCTGTGTCATCACTTCGTCCAGCCGACCCATTCGTGCCGAAGCTTGGCTCTCCCAGACTTTATTATTATTTCGTTCTATTCTGTGCTGTTCTAAAATTCCATGTAATAACAGTAATAAAAAACTACTTCTGAAACTCAGATCATCATCACCAGCCTATAAGTGCCCACTACTGAGCAAAGGCCTCTTCTCACAAGGAGAAGGTTTGAGCATTAATCACCACGCTTGCTTAATGCGGGTTGGCGATCTCAAACTTATAATTAGAAATTATAAGTCCAGGTTTCCTCACGATGTTTACCTTCTCCGTATGTCAGTGTTGTCTAAATAATCATAGAAAGTACTTTTGAAACTCAGATAAAGACTTTAATCTGACAATTCCTCACCAAATTCTGCACAGCTCTGCCCCTGATAATCCTTTGCAGCAATAGTGCGGCCTGATGTGCTGACTCCTCGTAGTCATCCAAGCATTCGATCTCAGGTGTCCTGGGCCTGATCACGACCGGCTCCTTGCGTGATTTCAACACGTGTAGCGGGCCTGCCGTCGTGTTTGCTGCCCCTAGACGTGCTTCTGTAATGGACATTTTTAATTGGGAACGTGTCCAATTGGTACAATTAGTCAAACTGACTATCAACTGGTCTCTCGACCAAATTTCTGACGTCATTTGACTTGTAGACCATCTCTCCATTAAGAGATCAGTCTCTTATTTATGAACTAGCTCTTGCGCGCGACTTTGTACGCGTGGAATAGTGACTTCCTGCAGATTTTTTGTTTAAAAACTATCCTATGTCCTTTAAGGAGTTCCAAACTATCTCATGGTACCAAATTTTACACAAATAGCTTCAGTAGTTCAGGCGCGAAGAAAAGACAGAGTTACTTTGGCATTTAAGTATATTATACCTAATTAGCTTGGATTCGGATTAGTTTGGATGTCTACTTATGTCATAATTTTTTGTGTCAAATATCATGCAGGGTCGCAAATGACGGTAAGTAATCATCGCCGGGGGGTATTCGCAACATCAGATAAATTACGAGAGCGTCGTCGCCCGGATTTTGGGGATAAGACTTTCGGATATTTAGGAATTGGGGGAGAGGATATAATGGATCTTCGGTAACATAACGAAGTGTGGGAAAGCCATGCTTCGGCACGAATGGGCCGGCTAGACCGGAGTGATACCACGGCCTCACAGAAAACGGCGTCAAACAACCACAGCGTTGTTTTTTCGACGTGTAAGTGGGGTTACCGGAGGCCCAATCCTTCCCCTCCTCCAATCCCTCCTCAATCCCTGAGTCTCCAAATCCCTAATCCTTAAAATGTCGGCAACGCACTTGTAACTAAACTAACTAAACCATTGGGGTGTCCATGGGCGGCGCTTATTGCTTACCATCAGATAATCAGTCTGCTCGTTTGCCGAACTATTACGAACGGGGAAAGTTCAATAAACTTACTCTTCAGATCATTATGAAGGTTCTCTAAGAACTGCTCGCTCCACTTGGTCTGCCGTTCGCAGAGCACGGTGGGATTCCTTGGAAGGAGGTGGCCGGAGCAGGACTTGGTGAGGTCCTGGCCGCAGGACTCTAACCATGGTGGGGGTGCTGCCAGCTCGTTGTGGTCTTCCAGAGCTGAAAAACGGTAAGACCATTAAACATACCACAAGATAATTACCATCATCAGCATCATCCCCGCACTCTGAAACTATGGACTTCTCAAGTGTGGGAGAGCCATGCTTCGGTACAAATGGGCCGGCTGGACCGAAGTGATACCACTGCCTCTTAGATAAATGGCGTGATGATAGATAGATGCTAGATCCTTAGAATCACTGTTATCATATATCAAATATGTAGTCTTTTAGTCTGGGTATGCGTCAAGGATTCTTCACCCATCATGAAAATATACTTACACAGTAAGCTAGGGTCGTAGATGATCTCTGCATGTCTTCTGCGCGCCTGGTAGCCATGTCTGGCGAGAGGCGCGTGGAGGTCTGATGTCGGGTCTCTAGAGGCATGCGTCACGCTTCCAGATCCTCGGGAGGCCTTCAATCGTGCGACCAGGCCAGCACGACCCCCGCCTTCATGAAGGGCTGTTAGCTTGCGGAGTTCTGTGAAGAGATTTTTTTATGTAATAGGTCAGCAAACGAGCAGATGGATTACCTGATGATAAGCAACCAGCGCCGTCCATGGACACCCGTAACGGAGGAGTTACGAGTGCGTTGCCTACCTTTTAGGGATTAGGCATTTGGAGATTTAGGAACTGCGGAGGAATTGGGAAACATTTTCCACATATACATTCTAAGTGCACTGTCCACTCTAAGTGTGGGAGAGCCATGCTTCGGCACGAATGGGTCGGCTCGACCGGAGGCATACCACGGCCTCACAAAACACAGGCGTGAAACAACCACAGCGCTGTGTTTCGCCGTGTGAGTGAGGTTACCGGATGCCCCATCCTTTCCATCCCCCAATCCCTAAATCTCATCTTCAAAACCCTAATCTACAAGAGGCCGGAAACACACTCGTAACTACTAAGTTGATTGCTTACCATCAGGTAATCCGTCTGCTCGTTTTCCGTACTATCACAACAAAAAAAATATAGCGTACCGTACCTCGATCCCTGGTCTTCCGTATGTGAGTGACCTTCCTCTCCATCTCCTGTTTCTTGGAAGCCCAGAGCTTGGCCAGCTTCAGGCTATTGCGATTAGTCTGTTTCTCTCGCTGTTCTGACTGGAGACGGTGAAGTAGTTCCAGTCGTATGTCCTGCAGCTCATCTATTTCCTAGATATTTAGACAAAATATGTGTAAAGAAAAATTGTTGAAAAGAGTTCGATAAGACTCTTTCTGAATCGCAGTGTCGAGATTCTCCGTGAGTTGATTAGGTTAGCAAAGAGTAAAATTTTATTTTGTATTGAATGAATGAATGAATATATACATAACTTGTGACGTAGTTTCGTTGTGATATCCTGATCCTTGCGACGGTCGAGAGTGATAAACAGTGCGGGAAAGTGGACGAGTGTTCAAAAATTCTTGATTTTACTTAACTCTACGCCATGTTATCACGTGTAAACGGTTAGACCGATTCCGATAACACATTCCGACACTTGTGTGCCTTTCTTTAGAACGGGCCCACTTAAACTGGTGTGGTTCTTTCCTCAAAAGACTACTACAGAATGAACTTGCACGGTTCTCTCACATTATGTTATTTTTACATTGTTTAGACTTTAAAAGAGACTGACCTCTGAGTTTGTTTCGGCATTTCTTCTCAGTGTAGTCAGATGGAAAATGCCGACTTCATCTAGTTTTTTTTTACATATAATTTTGACGTGTAAATGTGCTGTATAATGGTCTATTCACTAAAATAAATAATTTTTTTCGAGCCGTTAATATTCTTCCCCTACCCCTTACCCCAACCCTCCTCAATCCCTAATCCCTAAATCTCCGAAACCCTAATCCATTAAAGAGCGGCAACGTTCTCGTCTACCGTTGCGGGTGTTCCAGGTAATCTTCATGTGGTGACCTATCACATACACACAATAATAATAAACTTTCAAATACTCACACCCTGTCTAAACAGCCAATCCTTCATAACGACGTCGCTAATGATAGTATCTCTATTCTTAATCCAGCTGGGAAACTGCCCGCATTCCACCAGCTCCATCCAGGCACGGGCATGACGCATCCTAATGACCAAGTCTTGTTGGATTATGGGCAGTTTTGTGAGATAAAAAAATGGCTGTTTTATAAGAAATTTGCTTCAGTACGAATGGGTCGGTTCGACAGAAATGCCTTGCAGGAAGTCGACGTCATACTACAAAATCATTGTGTTTTGAAGTATTATAGAAGTTACAGATATGCCCATTAAGCCCAAAAGGCCGGCAGCACTTGTAGATGTAGTCAACATGGCCGATACCGTTTTGCCCTCCAGAGTTTGGTGTACCTTTGGACGACGCCGATTGCTTACCATCAGGGAATCTGTGTGCTAGTTTATCGGCCTATGCCATTAAAAACCTACGCACTTGCTTCTCTAGTTTCAATAATTCAATAATGTCAAGAACACAGTCTACCGTACAGAGTTTTGCAGAAGCAAACTTTTGTTATAAAAATGTCAAAAACTTATCTACCTGCTAATTTTTATTATTGCATATTTTGGATGATTTAGGGGTTTAGCACGGAGTAAGAACAAAGTTTCTTCTTACTCCGTGGGGTTTAGTCATTAAATGAAGCCCTTTTCATTTCATCAGTGCCATTTTCCATGATAATTTTTAGTGTATCACAGTACTTTTTCTCGGCTTGCATTAACTTGCGTATTTGCATTAAATTTGCCACTTGGCAAAGGCATTCTTCAATCGTCTCCAATTCAGCCTCTCTATATTCAGTCCAGCTGGCTAGCTGATATTTGTTTTTGTTTTTTAAACGTTGCCCTACACTAGGATGTTGTCCTATGTCGTAGGTGCGTTTACAAACATACAATTTTACATACACAACACACCCAGACCCGGAACAATAATTTGTGGATCACAAAAAGAGTTGTTCCGTGCGGGACCCGCGACTCGTTGCGCGGCAGCCAGTTGCCCAGCCACCGCACCAACCGTGCAGTCTTTTAATATCGTGCAGTATAATTATATGAAAAATGCCTCACTTGTTTATGATCGCAGTGGTGTAAAAGTCAGCTGGCAGATCTCCAACACGGTATGGCATACCAGGTCCTGAGGATATGGGAAACAAAAATAAAGGTTTTTACATGAAGCATAACCTGGGTGTCTTCAAGGTCCGAGTGAATAGGTTGCTTATGAGTAGGCGTGCTTTATCGTAGGTCGCATCAACGCTTACCACCAGGCGTGATAGCGGCCAAACGCCTGCCCATTACTAAACAAAAAAAGGGCACTTCAGCTGAGGCAACTATCAACATTACAATGGTCACAATTTTTGAAAATAACTCCAAATATTGGCTTTTAAAAGAGCTTGACCCGAGAGATGCTTTTAAAGAAAGAATTCTGTGTGGCCCTAAAGTTAAGGCTTCTTTAAAATGAGCGTTCTTTGAAATCTGGCAAGTACCAATGCGAATTTTTCTATGTCTATTTAGACACCACTGACACACGATGGAGGAAAAAACCGTGAAGATACCAAGACTTATAATAATAGGTCTTTACCTATGAAATTGCCGTTACTGCAGTACTGGCCATTTCAAATCAAAATAGTTTTTGTTAGGCTAAGGCTAATTAATTTTGTTTTAAAAACATGGGATTCTTTTTCCAAAAGTAGTCATTTGTTTATTGATTAGTGTTACATTTTCATCGCATTTCAAATCAAAAAATTCGTTCATGCGAAACGACAATTTCATAGGTAAAGACCTATTATTCCAATTACAATTTTGAAATCGCCTGCCTTGACCAAGCTTAGTGAATAACGCTAAAACGTTCTCCGTGTGTGAAGAGGCCTTTGCTCAGCAGTGGTCACTTATAGGCTGATGATATGATGATGAAAAGGATTGACTTCTGATTCTATCAACTCACCCCATTCTAGATTATCGAGGTACATAACTTCTGGTGTATTTTTGCATTGTTGAGCTGCCTTCCCGTCAGGTTGCCATGGTATCGTCTGAGCGGAAGATTCCCTGGAAATAGGACCTTTTCATCATACAGTTTATTTATAAGTGTCAATATTAGCGCCAAGTTTCGGCACGAATGGGTCACAACTGGAGTGATACCACGGCCTCAAAGAAAAGCGGTGTAAAACACCCACAGCGTGGCGTTTCGCCGTGTGAGTGAGGTTGCCGGAGGACCAATCCCTTCCGCTCCTCTCCCCCATCCCTTCACAATCCTTCAATATCCGAAACCCTTATCCCTAAAAGGCCGGACGCACTCGTAACTCCTTTGGATACAACTTCGAAAGCACCCAAACACTGAAGTCCGGCGCGTCCCAGGGACATGAATGACTGTCTTGGATCCCGCAACGAAATAAATCAGAAGATATTATCAGCTCTTAAAATCAGCTCTTAATAAATATGACTTATGCAAGGTATTTCTTATAATTACCGGTAGATGCTCTGGGTGGCTCTGTTTCTCGGTTTTTTATGAACCAAAGGCGGGAAATTCGGCGTGTTCGGACGAAAATCTGGGCTCGTCGTGTGGACAGCCATCACGCGTTTCGGGCTTAAATAAAATTATTACTACGTATAGTATAAAACAAAGTCGCTTACTCTGTCTCTATATCCCTATGAACGCTTCAATCTTTAAAAATACGCAACGGATTTATTAGATAGAGTGATTGAAGAGGGAGTTTTATATTGATAATATCCATTTAATGTTTTGGGTCTGGGAGTGACGGTCTTCTAATTTTTCTTTTGTAAAAGTATATTACTAGAAGTGAGAAGACCCGGCCTATTTTCTACATTGTCCACGCTTGATTCTGTAGTAAAAAAGGGCTGGGTTATTGAATATACTTACACAGCAGTATATTTGTAAGAATCCTTGCCACAAAATTCAGGTGTAGGCAGGCTGTTTCCTTCCTTCACGCGTTTCAAGTAAGCGCTGTACGATCTGTCGATGTGTGTCGGCAACCGACAGTTTGGATAGTAAACTGTTGAAGACCAGAAATTGTCATATTAATAATGATTCATCCGCTACTAGGTTCCTATTGATGTCGTTGTGGCCCGGAGGTTAAGGAGCCCGCTTCTCATGCATGAGGGTGTGGGTTCGAAACCTGGCAAGTACTAATGTGACTTTTTCCGAGTTATATGTACTTTCTATGATTATCTAGACACCACTGACATACGGTGAAGGTAAACATCGTGAGGAAACCTGGACTTATAATTTCTAATTATAAGTTTGAAATCGCCAACCTGCATTGAGCAAGCGTGGTGATTAATGCTCTAACCTTCTCCGTATGAGAAGAGGCCTTTGCTCAGCAGTGGGCACTTATAGGTTGATGATGATGAGGTTCCTATTGGTCGTGGCGTGAAGAAGGAGCCAGCGGACGGATTACCTGACAGTAAGCAATGGTACCGTCCAAGGATACCCGTAACGCCAAATGAGTTACGAGTGCGTTGCCGGCGTTTTAGGCTTTCGGGAGGTTAGAGATTGGGGACGAATTGGAGGAGAGGAAAACGGATTGGGCCTCCGGTAACCTTACTCAATCACACGGCGAAACACAACGATGTGATGGTTTTACGCCGGTTTTCTGTGAGGGTATCACTCCAGTAGAGTAGGCCCATTCGTGCTGACTCATGGCTCTTCCACTTAAATCTATTGTTTAACCTATTTGCATCTTCAAGAAAATGGGCTATCAAACATTTTTGTATTCGTTAATCCATTTATCGAGGAAGGCTATAGGCCATAAAATATCACGCTACGACCAATAGGAGACGAGCCGCGGGTATCTAGTGCTATGAATATTGTTTAATGGTACGTTTAAACGCTTGCCGAGACTTGGCAAACGTGCACAAGCTCCAAGGGTGTGAACAGTGTGTTTGGCGTGGCTTGCATGAGCTTGCAAGAGCTTGTCGGCGATCAGACCCAGTGTTCGGACACCGGTCAAAGGAAATTTGTGACAAGCGTTTGCGAAGTATTTACATAAAAAAAATAACACGTTGGCGATGTATAAGGGATTGGAGCTTGTAAACGTTTGCCAAGTCTCAGAAAGCGTGTAAACGTAGGTACCATAAGACTTACCAACTTTCAACCTTGGTCGCAAGCTTAGCTCTGAAAACATACTGCTGTATATTGGCTGTAAACTCTGAAACGAAGAAACCTTCAATTAAAAAACGTTTTTTATTTTTTAGGGCGTAAATCGTCGAAAGACGTGGGTGGGGCAAGAAGACCACCATATTCTTTCTACTGTTCAAAGATAAAGACATATTCTTTGATGACTCTTTTAGGGATTTTTTTTTATGAAATGCAGGCAAGCGTGCAGACCGATCAGCTGATGATAGCGCGGGTCTGCGGTCGGCGAGTAAAGGTAGGTCGCCGCACGACCAGAACCAGACCCGAGTGTACGGCGCGTTGCGTTCCGCGCGCGCCTTAAAGAGCCAATAGACCACCACAGACGGGGCACTATAGGGATGATGTTCAGCCGGGGTTGCGGGGTAAGCGCAATGAGGCACTGCGACCTCGGCCCAGAGCAGGAGAAGGAACAGGGGGTTTTTAGTCAGTAAGAGTCTGACACTCCCTCCCGCCCGACCATGGGCGGGAGAAGTCATTTAATGATTTTCCCCTCACAAAAAAAAATCACCTGATGGTAAGTGATCAACCATGGACACATGCAACACCAGAGGAGTTACAGGCGCATTGCCGGCCTTTTAAGAAGGAGTACACATTATTCTTGATGGTGTGAAGGTCGTATTGGTTCGGAATGAAAGGTGTAGCACGAAGGTAGGTATAACTGTTCTTTGATAACCATACTTACTAGTTGAGCGGAAGCCATGGCTGCTTTGAATGAGGTACGCGCGTAGTCCCGCGCCCCCGAAACGATGAAGGCCGAATCTGTTGATAAACGCAATTTTTTGTTATACACATTCTAGAACTGCAGAATGCAATACGTCTGTTTTTACTTCTTGACTTAATTGCAATTATAGTAATGGAATTATCATCATTATCAGCCTATAAAGGCCTACTGCTGAGCAAAGGTCTTTTGGTGGCGACGCCCGGCCTTAGTCGAGACCATGGTCGCCGGAAGCCGTCTCCTCTTTCTGTAAAGCAGTTACGCTCGCAAAGAGGCAGTGCCCGTGAGGGACCAATCACCGCAATAGGCGACACTCCGGGCGTCGCCAATCGAGAAACGATCTTCGGTTACCGTAAGCGCGAGTCTGCGGACGGCCAGTAAGGGTATCAAGAACTAGACCCGAGCGTACGGCGCGTAGCGTTCCGCGCGCGCCTCAAAAAGCCAATAGACCACCACAGACAGGGCCCTAAAGGGCTGATGTTCAGCTGGGGTTGCGGGGTAAGCGCAATGAGGCACTGCGGCCTAGGCTGAACATCAGTCCTATAGGGCCTCGTCTGTGGATGTAGATCTAATAGGCAATATCCTGAATTACCACATAGACTGCGAAAGCTAGTTCTTCTATGATTTAAAAATGGTAATACAATTCAATTGCGCATTATCCAGCGCAATTTTCGAGAATGAGTGCTGTTGTGTGTTTTGCCATTTTTTTTTCGTTGTGTTTGTTACTTTCAGAATAAGGTTCTTATGAAAGAAATTTTCGAGTATGAGGGGAATGTTGGGAACATGAATGAACCCCATCGTCGTATAGCTAGGTAGTAAGTTGGACTTATGATATGACGAATGATGTCGTGGTGGCGGGTGTGTGGGTTCGAAACCTGACAAGTACCAATGTGACATTTTCCGAGTTATATGTACTTTCTATGATTATTTAGACACCACTGACATACGGTGAAGGAAAACATCGTGAGGAAACCTGGACTTGTAATTTCTAATTATAAGTTTGAAATCGCCAACCCGCATTGAGGAAGCGGGGTGATAGTGCTCTAACCTCCGTTTGAGAAGAGGCCTTTGCTTAGCAGTGGGCACGTATAGGCTGATGATGAAGTTGGACTTCCGTTGATCAAGAGCGGACTGCCAGTCACTACATAGTATTAAGGAAAGTCGCTTACTCTGTCCTTAAAAAGCAAATATAGGGATAAGTATCTCTATATTTGCTTTCCGTATATCTCTTTACTTATATTAAAACTACGCAACGGATTTTGGTGCTGTGCTTTTAATAGGTAGATAGAGTGGAGTCGTAAGTTTATATATGTACCTACATATAAGTGGAGAAATTTACTATTTAGTAATTCTGTAGCACCCGTGCAAAGTTATTTTTTTCATTTTTTTGTAAAACGTTGCCCCACACTAGGATTTTCTCCTGTGTCGTGGGTGCGGTTACAAACATACAATTTCACATACACATGACACCCAGACCCGGAACAACAATTTGTGAGTCACACAAAGAGTTGTTCCGCCCGTTGAACGCGCGACACGTTGCATTGCAGCCAGTTGCCCAGCCGCCGCACCAACCGTGCGAAGCCGAAGCATTTTTTTTTTGTAAGGGGAAAATCATCAAATGGCTTCTCAAAGAGTGTCAGACTCTTACTGGCTAAAAACCCCCTGTTCCTTCTCCTGCTCTGGGCCGAGGTCGCGGTGCCTCATTGCGCTTACCCCGCAACCCCGGCTGAGAAGCCGAAGCCTGTCGCTAGCTTTTAACAGTGTAATGTAATTAGGTACCTAATAAACAAGTAAGAAGTAAAAAACTTACCATACAAATAATCGTGGACCCTCATCTTGGAGACATTGTGTTTTCTAGGCGCATCAAACATCACGTCGCCGCTCATTTTAACAAGCTATCAACTATACTAATAATAATAACAAAAAAACCTTCCTTCTATTTATACAGTTGGAAATTATTGAAATAACAAATCCGTTGCTATGACAACGTGACACGGTTGGTTTACGAAGATCGTTCCAGTAATTAGGTGCTTCTAATCTTATCTTTAACTGAGTGTTTTCAGTACTTATGTATTACCTACTAGCTACTCTCACGCGTTTTGTTCTGCGTGGCTCCATTTGACTGTAGCGTGATGTTTTATTGCCTAAGTATAGCACTCAGGAACATTGTAGCTATCTATCAGTGAAAGAATTTTGGCAATCCGACCAGCGGTTCCAAAGATTACCCCCTACATACAAACTTACAAATTTTAGCTCTTTATAATATTAGTATAGAAATATAGATTAAATCTGTACCTATGTATATACAACCTAATATTATAAAGCTGATGGGTTTGTTCGATAGTTTGATCACGCTTATCAGGGACATTAATATGACATTCTCAAGAAATAGTTACCAACGTAATTTTGGCGGCGACTTTTCACGTCCAGCCTTGGTCGAGGCTGTGGTGCGGAGCGAGTGGAATTGGGAAGCCGTCTCCTCTTGCCGCGAAGTAGTGATGCTCGCAAAGGAATTATCCTTCTCACGCCCCAGCCGCCGTATCTGGTAGAGGTGGCACTCCGGACGTCGGAAGTCGAACGAAGATCTCCGGCCACCGCTAAAGGAGCTCACCGCTCGATCAGGATCAGACCCGAGCGAATGGCGCGTAGCGTTCCGCGCGCGCCTCAAAGAGCCAATAGACCACCACAGACGAGGCTCTACTTGGCTGATGTTCAGCCGGGGTTGCGGGGTGAGCGCTGTACCGCGGCCTCGGCCCAGAGACTGCTCCGGGCCGAGGCCGCGGTTAAAAACCCAAGGGCTAAAAACCCCTGTTCCTTCTGCTGAGAAGGAACAGGGGTTTTGAGCCAGTAAGAGAATGTCACTACCTCTCACCTTACCTTAGGCTAGAGGTCTGCGGATTTAGGGAGGGATAGGCATCAGAAGGATTGATCCTATTGATATGGTAAGTACATTAATGATAAATGATAAACAACGCTGTAGTTGTTTCACGTCGGTGTTCTGCGAGGCCGTTGTATCAATTCGGCTATTCGCGCCGAAGGATCTCCAGACTTAATTTTTTTTTATGTCATAGGTCAGCAAACGATACGGACTACCTGATGGTAAGCAATCAGCGTTGCCCATGGACACCCGCTAAATCTGAGGAGTTACGATTGCTTTGCCGACCTTTTGGGGATTCAAACTTTGATGATAAATATATTGTGACGCATATCTATACTTCTATACTAATATTATAAAGAGGTTAAATTTGTAAGTTTGTATGTAAGGGGTAATCTTTGGAACCGCTGGCCGGATTTTCAAAATTCTTTCACTGATAGGTAGCTACAATGTTCCTGAGTGCTATAGGCTATAGCTACGCTACAATCAAAGGGAGCCGAGCAGCGGGTGAAACCGCGTGAGAGTAGTTAGTATCCAATAAGGCGAAAAAGGGTAGGTAGGTACGTTAAAATAACACATAAATTACAAATTAACAACTAATTATATTTATTTCATAATAATGTATTTACAAGACTTACGTGAAAAACTTATATCTAATTAAAACTACTTATATTTTAACTAGCTTTTGCCCGCGACTTTGTTCGCGTGGAATCGTGACTCTTGGAGATTGTTGGTTAAAAAACTATCCTATGTCCTTTCTCGAGTTCCAAACTATGTCTGTACCAAATTTTACAGAAATCGGTTCAGTCGTTTAGGAGTGCAGAAAGGACAGACAGACAGAGTTTACTTTCGCATTTATAATATTTGTTGGGATTAAAACGTATTACAAAAAGCTTGTCCGATTCGAAAAGATAAAATTTATTTAACATGCATTTATAAAACTTTTAATAATGGGAGAATGGAGTCGTTGCGCCCACTTCTCATGCATGAGGTTTCGAAACCTGGCAGGTACCAATGTGACTTTTTCCGAGTTATATGTACTTTCTATGATTATTTAGACACCACTGACATACGGTGAAGGAAAACATCGTGAGGAAACCTGGACTTATAATTTCTAATTTGAAGTTTCAAATCGCCATTCCGTCTTTAGCAAGCGTTGTGGTTAATACTTAAAACCATCACCGTGTGAGAAGAGGCCTTTGCTCAGCAGTGGGCACTTATAGGCTGATGATGTGATGGATGAACAGAATTACATTTTGTGCCACCGCTATCCTTTAAATGGGTGTCAGATACCCGGACAAATACTAAGACTAGACTAACGGAAACCGGGTGTAACACCCGGTTCGGCAGGCAGATCAATGTTAAAATCAATTTAATCTCTTGTCAAGTCATCTGATTGGTTGACTGAATTATCGACAACCAATCAGATGACTTGACAAGAGATTTAACAGGAGATTAGTTAATTTTAGCGTTGACAAGCCTTTTAGAAACCGGGTGTAAGACTACTAAAACAGACAGAGACCGTGAAAAAACCACAAAAAACTAAGTTATTCAAGAAAATAAAGATTGATTTAAAACCGAGAGGTAACTATTAGTATACTAAGAGCTGATTTTTCAATAGTCATATAAATGTTGTCTGAGGAATAAAATTGTTGCTGTCACTGTCTTATACAAACATTCTGACGCGACAGCATCATAATTATTCTCCAGGTAACTTTTATCTAACCATTAAAAAATCAGCCCTAAATTGTGTAGATTCCTTAGCGAAAAAAGACATTATTTATAGCTTAGAGTTTCGAGCGTGGCTCGAAATTAATCGAGCTAATTCGATAAGTCACGTAAGTAAACCGTAATTTATATATTTGAAAAGGCTTAAAGTAATGTATTGTTGAACACTTGACGACCATATTTTCCGAATCCTAATCTTTAGGCTTTATCCAAAGGTTATCTGTAAGAAATCGCATTTTGAGATCAGACCGCCCATTGTACATTAAATCTCAAACTTTGCTGTATATTTTTATGTTGTATACGAAAGAGTAAATAAGTAAAAACGAGAGGTATATAGGCAAACGTAGTGTAGGGCGCCCTCCAGCTAGGTGGACTGACGATATCCGTAAGGCTGGCAGTGGTTGGATGAGAAGAGCTGAACATCGAGCTCAGTGGCGTGCTATTGGGGAGGCCTATGTCCAGCAGTGGACGACATCAGGCTGATCATGATGTACGTACCGCTACAGGAGTAGAAGATGCAGATATTGCATATAGCAGTGCAGAAATTGATAGAAAATAGAGTTCAAAATAATATCTTCTGAAATATTTCGTTACTAGATCCAAGACAGTCATACAAGTCCATCTCATTCTCCATAGGAATCCACACTTTGGAACGAGCAAATAGCTTCACTAGAGGACTGACCGACAGACTGACACCTTTTATCTTTAAGTTTTGTTTGACGTTCGTAATAATAGTGCCAACAAGGGTCTATTTTGCCAGGAGGTACCGCGGCCTCGGCCTAGAGCAGGAGAAGAAACGGGGGGTTTTTAGTCAGTAAGAGTCTGACACTCTCTCTCGCCTCACTCTGGACGGGAGAAGCCATTAGATGATTTTCCCCTAAGCAAAAATAAAAAGGGTATTTTGAAAATAAATATTTAGACTCTGACATGTCCCTGGGAAGCTAGACTTTGGTGTTTCGGTGTTTTCATGGTTGCATCTACTGTAGATCTTGGTACAGAGGAGTTTAAGTTTCTGGAATATGTGTTGGGAAGGTCCCAAATGGAAAAACGAAAAGAGTCATAGTGCAAGACTATCAAGGGCTGTGTTAATAAGGTCGAATTTCCCAATAGGAAAAATTGTTATGTAAAAAGCCTGTAGTCCAAGATTGACTATTATGGGCTGTCTTCATCAGGTCAGGCGGCTCTTAAGGTATCGTCAATTTCTGCTAAAGCCATGGCAGCCGCTCGCAACTGATCAGCTTGACGTCTCGCACTGTCAGTCAGCGCCGAGAGGCTCTGGCGTAGGGTAGCTACACGAGAACTGACTCTACGACGCTCCGCTAACAAGAGTTCTCTTGCTTTCGTACCTGGAATTATAGAAAAAAATTGGTTAATATTCTTAACGTCGTGGTGTCCCGGAGGTTAAGGCCCTTAACCTCCGGGACACCTCTCTCTCTCTTCTCATACAAGAGGAATCGAATTGTGGCAAGTACCAGTGTGACTTTATCCGAGTTATAATATGTACTTTCTATGATTATTTCAGGTAGGATCGCAGTCAAGCACTAGACTATAGCAAGTAAAAAAAAAATTTAAACACCACTGACATACGGTAAAGGGAAACATCGTGAGGAAACCTGGACTTATAATTTCTAATCATAAGTTTGAAATCGTCAAACCGTCTTGAGCAACCATTGTGGTTAATGCTCAAACCGTGTGAGAAGTGGCTTTACCCAATTGGCTCAGCAGTGGGCACTTAAAATGGCGTATCGTAGGATTAGTGTGATTTAATTCCTATCAGTTACTAATTGTTATGTATAATTTTTCTTCTCCAATTTACTGTGTACATAAAATATTAAATAAATGTAACCTTTGTACACTGTTTATCGTGAACGTTTACCTCCTTATAAATAACATTTCCAATGGGATTGGAAAAAAAGCAATAAATTACCGTGTAAAAATAAAATACCTATTAATGTTTGTTTTAAATAAGTAGATTTCATTATATAAAAAGTCAATCTACTAAAATATTAAAAGTAAAAACATTAGTCGTTTTCTCAATTTCTAAGTAGGTCGTTTAGAATTTTCTTTTAGTTTATATTTTATGTTAATTCCTTTAATTTTTTAAATTGTTTAATAAAAATAAACATCTCTGTTTTTAGAACAATCAAATTGTTTGTTTTTACACCGATACCATCAACATATTACATAAATATTTCTCACCTAACAATGGCAAGTAATCTCCAGCTCTTTCAGCTCGGATGTCAAGGGTGAACCAGTCGTCTAGATCTTCAGAATCCGACGAGGGAAGTTCCTGTGGAAAAGCAAATTTAATAAATATGAAACTTTTTTATTGAAAAAGCGACTTACTCACATCTGAGAACCGAGAAAAGCTCGACTAGTTTCGAGTTACTACGGGACTCTTATTCATGAGCTGCGTGCGCGTCGCGGCGACGTCGTTTAAGCTTGAGCTTTTCTCAGTAATACCATGGGAGCAAGTCGTAATTTTTTTTAAAATGTAATGTTTCCTGTAAAATTGTTGTTTTATGGCATATTTGTAAGAAATCTATATAATTATATAAAAATGAATCGCAAAATATGTTGGTAAGCGTATAACTCAAGAACGCCTGGACCAATTCTACTAATTCTTTTTTTTTTTTGTTATGTGTGTTATTGTCAGGAAAATGTTGGTATGAAAGAAAATTCTCGAAAAGTAGAGAGAGAAGAGATCTGGGAAATAGGGACCCTTTCGTAGTTAGCGAGCTAGTTGGTTAACAGAAAACTAGCAATAATACAAAAAAATATCGCAAAATGTGTTGGTAAGCGCATAACTCGACAACCACTGGATGAATTTTAACAATTAAATTCGTTGTTTTGTTATGTTTGTTATAATAGCCAGGAGAAAGTTCCGAAAACGTTTACGAAAGAAAATTTTAAGGGAAAAGTTGGTGGATTTTTTTTTTATTTTTGTTGGATACCCGTGAGAATTAAGGGCAGGCCACTAGTTTAAAGAATCCTTTATCTTTACTCACATCGTAAAGGCTCCCATCTTCAGATCTGCTCTCAGCATCGCTGGGAACCTCTTCATCCATGACCTCTGGCTTCATGATCCGCTGCTTCTTCGATGTGTCGCCTTCTGACTGCTCTGCAAACTCCTGTGGCAGAAGAAGAGATACATAACATCGTTTTTCTTTTATTAAAAAAAAAGACATTGCCCTACACTAGGATTTTCTCCTACGTCGCGCGTGGGTGCGTTTACAAACATACAATTTCACATACACATTACACCGGAGCAACAATTTTTAATCACACAAATTGTTGTTCCGTGTTTGGGTGTGATGTGTATGTGAATTTGTATGTTTGTAACCGACAACACGACACAGAAGAAAGTCCTAGTGTGGGGCAATGTTTTTTTTAATAATAATAATATGTTTCGCTGTGTGTATTGTATGTATGTATGTATGTATGTAAAATATAAAATCGCAAAATATGTTGGTAAACGCATAACTCAATAACACCTGAACCAATTTAACAAATTCCTTTTTGGGAAAGTAATACAAGTATTACGTCGTGTACAGATAGCGCGCGAGTTGAATGCAGAGCTTAGGAATGCGGTAGTGCTGTGACCTAATTATAATTATTGATGACACAATGAGTAATGAATGTCGATAAATTTAAACAACGTTATAAGTTTAATTTTATTTTATACACTAGGTTAACATGATGAAAAATAAAAACAATATCATAATTATCACATGTTTTCAATAATCATTTCACAAAACGGAATAAAAAAAATTTAATCAGATTCAGAAATGGCAGATATAGTTGAATCGGTGTCACTATCCTCGCCGTCGCTGACCTCAATGACGAATCGATCTATGGTATCTTTAATTAATCCATCTCTGCCAATAATTTTCTTTCAAAAATTATGACGTGATAAACGTAGTTGACAAGAGTGGCACAGCACTACACTGCAGACGCATGAGGTAGGGGGGTGCGGATAGCGGGGGGAGATGCTCCCGCTCTTTACCTCAGACCCCGACTGCATTAAACTCGCGCGCTATCTGTATATTCTTTATAAGTCAATTGTCAATGTCAATGTCAATGTCAATATATTAATATTTATTTTGTTTATTGCAATTTATATTGTTTATATTAAGTAAAAGTCAATGGCAATGTCAATGTCAAATCAAAGCATTTGTTACAAATAATCCTATAGAAAGTCACTTTTGAAATGCCAAAGTTAGATTAGTTGCCATAGGGTAGGAAGGGTATATAACCTGGGTGTCTTTCAGGGCCCTAGTGAAAATATATGTAAATTTTCTTAATAAATAAATAAATATGTATTTTATACCTAATATTTCTTAGTTTAAGTTACTAATCCAATTTAAATATTGTATCTACTAACAAAAATGGATCTGTGTAATCTTAAATAAATAAATGAATTAAATTTTTGAAAGAAGCTATTATTATTAAGTAAAATTCTTACCTTAATTATTATGTTTTCGGCTTACTTACGTAATAATTTGACGAGATATACTCGAACACGGCTTGAAACTAGTCGAGTATCTCGTCAAATTATTACGTGAGTAAGCCGAAAACATAATAATTAATTTAGAATGTCTCACGAAAGTTATAATAATAATTCTTACCTCCTCATCGAGATCAAACTCGTCTTCTTCCAAGAATTCTTCTTCATCGATGACATCATCAAAATCGTCATTCTTCTGGCTTTCGTGCTTAGACGAAGGCTTCTGGACTTTATCCTTCTGTACCTTATCCAAGGGCGTGAATGGCGCCGGAGTTTTGATCTCGACTGACTTATTTAACTTCGATAAAAGTTGTGGTATAGGTTTCGGGGTTTTCAGAATGGGTTTCTGCGACCCAAAACTGGGTTTCGGGGTGGAAGAAACCGGTTTTTGAATAACGTTAGATTTATTGGACGTAAAATTAGGTTTTTGTTGAACTTGTTTTTGCTGTGTGTGCTGTTTGAGTGGTTTTTGATCTTGTTTTTCTGTAAAAATAAACAAAATTTTGTTTTATGTCTCGGTGTTGGATAGCCGCGATTAGGCGACCTTCATGACCGGAGTGATACCACGGCCTCACGGAAAACCGACGTGAAACAACCGTGGTCAATGGAGACAATCCGTCCTCTCTCCCGATTCTTCCTCTCCCTAAATCCCTCCCGAATCCCGAAATCTCCAAACTCCTCATCCCCAAGTTGGGAACACACTCGTCACTCCACCATTGTTGCGGAGTGTCCATGGGCGGCGCTGATTGCTTACCATCAGGTAATCTGTATGTTCGTTTGCCATTTTTTGACATAAAAATGAGCCAAAAGCCAATGGTTGGTGCAAGAAGCAACCAAGTATAATTTTATAATAGACATAATACATTTCTTTTTATGAAAGACTTTTTGGAGGCAGTATCGAAACTCATACAAGGGGTATGAGTTTCGATACTGCCTCCAAAAAGTCATTACAAAACAAGGTTTATCTTTAGTCCAGGTTTAAACCATTGAGTCGGGTTTTGAATTTTGAATCTTATTGTCATCTACCTTCAATTCGAAATACGAAAACTGGCTCAATGGTTTAGTCCTAGACTAAAGTAAAACCTTGTTTTGTAATAAGGCCGATACTGACTAAAAACCACCCCATACCTGCTACCCCAACTAAAGACATACGAAAGGATTGGGCCTCCAGTAACCTCTTTCGAATAAATGAGCCGTTGTTTCACGCCTGCATTACCTATACTAATATTATAAAGCTGTAGAGTTTGTTTGTTTGGACGCGCTAATCTCTAGAACTGCTGGTTCGAATTAAATGATTCTTTTTGTGTTAGTTAGTCCATTTATCGAGGAACGTTATAGGCTATAAAACATCACGCTGCGATCTACAGGAGCCGAGCAGCGGGTGGAACCGCGTGCAGTTATCTAGTTTATTATACATAATACTTACGATTCCTATTGTCGATATGAACGACATGTTTGACAATTTTCTTCTGTGTTTCCGTTTTGCCGCCGCTAGATGCCGCTGCTTGCATTTCGAACATTCGTTGCACTGTCGAACCTTCGTCAGACGACTGAAATATAAAAATATCACGTTTTTATTGAGGAGAATTGCATAAAATTGAGGAGAATTCAAAGTCAAAATCATTTATTCCAACTAAACCATAAATAGGTACTTTTGAAACGTTAAAATAGAATAGTAGTCTGTTAGTCTGTTCGTCAGTGAAGCTAGGTGCTCGTTCCAAATTGTAGTTTCGAATGGAGAAGTACGAGAAAGAAACTTAACCGTTTCTCTTTTAAAATAATTGTTTTTTTTTTCTAATTATTTTATAATTTAAAAATTGTTTTATAATTTTCTTCGTAATGCTACTACACTATCAACTATTCCCAATTTTTTGTAATCTCCAAGTTTATTTAGACACCACTGACATACGGAGAAGGAAAACATCGTGAGGAAACCTGGACTTATAATTTCTAAATTAAAAGTATGAAATCGCCAATACGCCTTGAGCGAGCTAGTGATTAATGCTCAAACCTTCTCCGAGTGAAAAGAGGAAAGCTTGGGCCAGTAAAAAAAAAAAAATTAATTGTTTCAATGCATTGAAATTGGAGTTATATTCCCTGCATCAGTACCCAATTTCAGGCTGATGATGAACATTAACACCCTTTTTTACTTTTAATCCGACAGACAAACTATGGCGTATAGTTTTGCCAGCCATTTTTATGTCATAAAACTTAAAATGTACCTGTTTCATCAATAAATAAATAAATAAATAAAAGGTCAAGTAACTGGGCTGGTGGGACAGAGGCTGGCTGAAGACCTGGAAGTGTGGGAGAGCCATGCTTCGGCACGAATGGGTCGGCTCGACCGGAGTGATACCACGGCCTCACAGAAAACCGGCGTGAAACAACCACAGCGTTGTGTTTCGCCGTGTGAGTGAGGTTACCGGAGGCCCAATGATTCCCCTCCCCCAATCCCACTACAATCCCTAAATCTCCAAATCCCTAATCCTTAAACGGTCGGCAACGCACTCGTAACTCCTATGTTGCGGGTGTCCATGGGCGGCGCTGATTGCTTACCATCAGGTAATCCGTCAGCTAGTTTGCCGCCCTATTACATAAAAAAAAGCAATTATACCTGATCGCTCTCATCGTCTCCATCACTCATATCCTCGGGAACAGCCTTCGTTGCTGGTCTCTTTATTAAGGCGTTCTTTGCTAGTTTCAAGGTCTTCACTTGGCTACGCTGTAAGTAAAATATTCCAAAATGAATGTCAATGTCAAAGTCAATTACAAAAGTCATTGTCAGTCTATGTCAATGTCAATGTCAAACGTCAGTATCAGTGTTAATGTCAAACGTCATTATCAATGTCAATGTCAAAGTAAATAACAATGTTAATTTCTATGCCAAATTAAATCGCACGGTTGCACGACTGTACAATTGGTGCGGTGGCTGGGCAACTGGCTGCCGTGCAACGTGTGGCGGGTTCGATTCCCGCACGGAACAACTTTATGTATGATCCAAAAATTGTTGTTCCGGTTGTCATGTGCATGTGAAATTGTATGTTTGTAAACGCACCACGACACAAGAGAAAATCTTAGAGGGGCAACGTTTAAAAAAAAATCAATATCAAACTAAACGTCAAAGTCAATGTCAAAGCGAAATGTTAATGACAAAGTCAATGTCAAAGCGAAATGTTAATGACAAAGTCAATGTCAAAGCGTAGTTTCAAATAATCCTATAGAAAGTCACTTTTGAAATGTCAAAGTTACATTAGCTGCCAAAGGGTAGAAAGGGTATATAACCTAGGTGCCCTCAAGGCCCTAGTGGAAATTTTTGCTTGCTTTCTATGTGTTATGCTGTGTGAGGGAAGTTACCGGAGACCTAATCCGTCGCCAGAATCTATACTCCCCAATCCCCAAACTTTAAGTCGCCGATAAAGCACTTGTAACTCCTCATTGTTGCGAGTGTCCAAAGGACTGCTTACCATCAATTCATCAGCCTACTCATTCGACTCTCTATTCTTCTCTAATGGAGAAATCTCTTACGTGGGAGTTTAAGAGCGTAAGAGTTTAAGTGTGGGAGAGCCATGCTTCGGCACGAATGGGTCGGCTCGACCGGAGTGATACCACAGCCTCACAGAAAACCGGCGTGAAACAACCACAGCGTTGTGTTTCGCCGTGTGAGTGAGGTTACCGGATGCCCAATCCTTCCACTCCCCAATCTCACCTCAATCCCTATATCTCCAAATCCCTAAACCCTAAAGGCCCAAACTCCTCTGGTATTGCGGGTGTCCATGGGCGGCGCTGATTGCTTACCATCAGGTAATCCGTATGCTCGTTTGCCGACCTATTACATAAAATAAAATATGGTACTTACCTCATACACGAAGTCATCATCATCGCTAGACCCGTGATCATCAACTTTCTCACTCTTCACAACTTTGAGGGTCTTCTTCTTAATTTTTTGGTTATCTTCACCTAACATGCGCTGCAAATTAAAATAGAAGTTCAGCTATTTGTTTATCAGTGAAGGTTAGGAGAGCAAGCGTTATAATGTACCGCGGCCTCGGCCTAGAGCTGGAGAAGGAACGGGGGTGTTTTTAGTCAGTAAGAGTCTGACACTCCCTCTGGCTCCACCCAAGGCCGGAGAAACATTTGATGACATTACAAAGTCAAAAAAACGTTTTACCACGATTCCAGTCTAGAGCTGGAGAAGGAACGGGGGGGGGGGGGTTTATTCAGTAAGAGTCTGACACACTCTCTCTCCTCATCCAAGGTGAGAGAAGTCATTTGATGACATTACCCCGTCAATAAAAAAATGTTTGTATAGGCCGATAGATGGCGCTAAAACACATTTTTAAAGATGATGTCGTAATCACGAAGTATCTCTTCAATAGTGTAACAATACTACGCTTTTCATTTTGAGAATTACCATGAACCAGACATCTTGAATCCATGGTAAAATAATGGTAAAACGAAGGTTGAAGTGAGGAAGAGCCATGCTGCCCACGAATGGGTCGGTTCGACTGGAGTGATACCATGGCATTCGTGCCAAAACATGGCTCTCCCTCACTTAAATTTATGATATAATGTTTTAATAGATAGAGTGATTGAGGAGGAAGGTTTATATGTATAATAACATCCATTGAATAGTGGAAAAATTTAGTATCAGTTTTTGCAGTTTTCGAGCGAAGCCGGGGCCAGTCGCTAGTACCAAATAAATTACTGATTATCCAAGAAAAGAGGCAGACAGTATTAAAAATTGACATTCGCAAAGAATCTTAATAGGTATGTAAGCAAGCTAAAATGATACATTGATTTGATTAAAACATAACATCGCGCCTTATATAATCCTTGTATGTGTAAACAGATTGTAATCAAAACATTCTCTACATTAATTAAGGAAACTAAGATAATGACGGTTGCCTCACAATATATTTATGAAAATGTAATTCACGCTCATAAAAACAAAAGCTTATTTAAGAAGCATAGTGATATACATAATATTAACACGAGGGGGAAAAACAAATATGTTGTCCCCACCTCCAGGCTTCAGAAAATAAGTAATTCGTTTAGATGTCAATGTATACGCTTTTACAATAAAATTCCTAGGGATATTCAAAATTTGAGCCTCAATAATTTTAAAAGTGTAATAAAGGCTAAACTTTACTGTAAAGCATTTTATAAAATAAAAGACTACTTAGAAGATAGTCAGGCTTGGGAATGAGCCGCTGTAACTTCTGCACAGGTCATGTTGACATGTTTGTAACATAAGTTACGCTTTTTATATACAATTTGACATTACGTTTATTATTATTATTTTTTAACAATGACATTATCACCTATTGTGACATTTTTATTTTTATTTGACATTTTTTATTTTATTTATTATTTTTATAATTATTTATTGACATTATAATTATTTTCTATTATTGTTAGTGTAAGGACCGTGTGAGACTTGCCGCGCTTTTGGACTACCAGTTATCTGCGTTCTGACAGTTTGAGTACTTGCGTGACCCAACCAAATGTTCTTTAGATCGGTATTGTTCGTCGGACAACTCAGCAGCACTTGCTATGCTGGTTGCAAACTGACACTTGCGTGCCTGTCTTCAGAACGGGTCCACTTAAACTGGTGTGGTTCTTTCATCAAAAGACCACTACAGAATGAACTTGCACGGTTCTCTCACATTATGCTATTTTTACATTGTCTGGACTTGAAAAGAGACTGACCTCTGAGTTTGTTTCAGCATTTCTTCTCAGAGTAGTCAGATAGGAAATGCCGGCTTCATCTAGTTTTTTACATATAAATTGACGTGTAAAAGTGCCGTTTTATGGCCTATTTGCAAAAATAAATTCATTGTTTCATTGTTTCATTAATATTGTATAAAACAAAGTCACTTTCTCTGTCCCTATATCCCTATGTATGCTTAAATCTTTAAAACTACGCAACGGATTTTGATGCGGTTTTTATTTAAAGAGGAAGGTTTATATGTCTAACTCTCTGCTCTCGCGCGGTTTCACCCACTGCTCGGCTCCATTTAATCACAGCGTGATGTTTTATATTATAGCCCATAGCACTCAGGAACATTGTAGCTATCTATCAGTGAAAGAATTTTGGAAATCCGACCAGCGAGCGGTTCCAAAGATTACAAAAGAGGTAAAATTTGTAAGTTTGTATGTATGTAACTTACAAATTTTACATCTTTATATTAGTATAGATAGAGATCGTGGCCAGGAGATTAAGAAGCCCGCTTCTTATGCATGAGGGTGTGGGTTAGAAACCTGGCAAGTACCATTGTGACTTTTCCGAGTTATGCGTAGGTACTGGTGTAGGACGGTGAAGGAAAACATCGTGAGGAAACCTGGACTTATAATTTCTAATTATAAGTTAATCCACCTTGAGCAAGCGTGGTGATTAATGAGAAGAGGCCTTTGATCAGTAGTAAGCACTTATAGGCTGATAATGTCATATGATGTGTTTTCGAAGTATTAGCATACACAGAAGTTAACAAAAAAATGAAAAAAGTTAAAATCCTACTACTCTACTAAAAACTACTCAACATTTAACTTACACCAAGTGAACGTATAAGGCGAGATATTATGTGTTGCCATGTAAATAAATGTAGAAAATACCTTACCGTAAGTGGGTAACCAGTCGATTGACGGCTGGCAACACACGTTTGAAAAATGTTACCAACACTTATTTTTGTCGAAGTGAAATTTGAATTTTGAGTGGGAATGTATATGGATAAGAGGTGTTGAAGGTATTGATAGATTTCTTATGGCATAGGACGGCTAAAGGGCAGACTAATCAGCTGATGGTAAGCAGGTGATGCATTGGCAGCCTAAAGGAACGCTACCGCGGCCTCGGTCTAGAGCAGGAGAAGAAACGGGGAGGATACTTAGTCAGTAAGAGTCTGACACTCTCTCTCTCGCCTTACCCTGGGCGGGAGAAGTCATTTGATGATTTTCCCCTCACAAAAAGTTTACTAGATCGCTGAAGAATGATTATGTTACGTTTAAGACTTCTAAAATGGAGTTTTAATCATTAACTGTCTGGTGGTTTCACGACGGTATTCTGTGAAACCGTGATACCATCCCGACAGGCAAATTTCGATAAAGCATGGAGAAAATGGGGCATCAATTAATTATTGGTGGTTTTTCACTTGTTTTCAGCGTTGTGTTTCGTCGTGTGAGTGAGGTTACCGGAGGCCCAATCTCCCCAAAACCCCTCCCCTTATCCGTTCCTAATTCCTAAATATCCGAAACCCTTACCCCCAGAAGACCGGCAACGCACTCGTAACTTTGGTGTTGCTGGTATCCATAGGTAGCGCCGAATGCTTACCATCAAGTTTGCCCAGTTGGAGAACTTACTCATAAAAAAAAAATCTCAATCCATTACCCAGAAGTCGGGAGAAGTATGCGCAAAGGTTAGAAGGTGTTAGTTAAAGCGGGAATGATGGTGATGAATGGGATATGATTAGGGGTAGTTGTGACTCCAGTAGGGGGGCCTTTCTCCCAAGAACACATACTGACCTCATAGTTGAATCCCTGAAAAAATTTCACGTGCAGAATTGGGCAGAAGACTAAGTCAATTACATAAATAACTAGCTATTTACGCGCGGTTTCGCCCGCTGCTCGGCTCCATTTAATCGTAGCGTGATGCTTTATAGCCTATAGCACTTAGAAACATTGTAGCTAACTATCAGTGAAAGAATTTTGGCAATCTGACCAGCGGTTCCAAAGATTACCCCCTACATACAAATATACTAACTTATACCTCTTTATAATATTAGTATAGACTAGCTATTTACGCGCGGTTTCACCCGCTGCTGAGATCTCAACGTGATTTTTTTATTACTAACGAACACAAAAAGAATTATACAATTCGAACTAGCAGTTCCGGAGATTAGAGCGTTCAAACAAACAAACTCTACAGCTTTAGGTCTTTTCACTTACGTCTCAATTTTTGAAAACGTTGCCCTACACTAGGATTTTCTCCTATATCGTGGGTGCGTTTACCAACATACAATTTCACATTACACATCACACCCAGACTCACGGAACAACAATTTGTGAATAATAGTAATAGCCTTATTAGTTCTACTGACTCATAATCATGAAGAAATATGTCATGGTGGCGTTAAGATTAAGGTTTCTCATGCATAAGGGCGTGAGTCAAAAACCTGGCAATTACCAATGTAACTTTTTCCGAGTTATATGTACTTTCTATGATTATTTAGACACCACTGACATACGTTGAAGGAAAACGTCGTGAGGAAACCTGAACTTATAATTTCTAATCATAAAGAATCGCCAATCCGCGTTTAACGAGCCTGGTGATTAATGCTCAAATCTTCTCCGTGTGAGAAGAGGCCTTTGCTCAGCAGTGGGCACTTACAGGCTGATGATGATGATGATGAAAAAATTATGAATCATGAATTGTATAAGAAGGATTTTCTTATAAAGGCCGAAGTGTGATATATGTATCGCTAGCTATGTATGAAAGGATGTTAGTACTTGTTAGCCAAGGCATGAATGTATGGATATTTGAATGATAACTTACCAGCAAGTCATCCGTATCATTCCCATCGTCCTCGCGCTGTTTATCCGTGTCCATATTAGATTCATATTTATTTGCTTTGTTTACACCATCATTCTTTCTGTGGACAAAGTGTATGAAATGATTATTTTCGCGAATCCTACTATCCTACTAATTCTACTATCCTACTAATCCTACAATCCTACTATCCTACTAATTCCACTATCCTACTGGTAATTAATATTTGTGAGTATGGATGTGTTTGTTTTTCTTTCACGCAAAAACGGCCAGACCGATTTGCTTGAACTTTCTTATGTAGATAGGTGATACCCTAGCTACCACATAGGCTACTATTAATCAACTTACCTATATCTACATCCTTATTTCTGTCTGTGATAAAAAAAACTGCAAAATCTGTTGCTAAGTGCTGAACTCAACAATGCCTGAGCAGTTTTGCCAACTCTTTTTTATATTAATAGAAATTACAGAATTACCTGATCAAAAATGTATCCAACTCATCGTTAAGATCTTCACCATTCTGCGAGCTCTCCAAGTTATTGAGTTGTTCCTCAATGTTCTCCGTTAGATTGCTCTCTTTCTGTTCTTCCTCCGTTGCCATGGCAACGTTAATTTCCGTCCCATCTATTGTCACTAAGTTGTCCAGCTCTTCTAAAGTTTCTTGGGAACCGTCCATTGATACCTCTGCTTTTAATTGACCTTGTTCAGTCTGAAATGTTGAAAAATGAATTAATGGAAACCTGAAATAGTCTCTCTCTGTCTATGCACAGACAGACACACAGTTGAAGTGTGGGAGAGCCATGCTTCGACACGAATGGGTCGGCTCGACCGGAGTGATACCACGGCCTCACAGAAAACCGGCGTGAAACAACCACAGCGTTGTCTTTTGCCGTTTGAGTGAGATTACCGGAGGCCCAATCCTACCCCACCCCCAATACCTCCTCAATCCCTAAATCTTCAAATCCCTAATCCATAAAATGTCGGCAACGCACTCGTAACTCCTACGTTGCGGGTGTCTATGGGCGGCGCTGATTACTTACCATCAGGTAATGCGTATGCTCATTTGCCGATCTATTACATAAAAAAATGCACAGTAGTTTTCGAAAACATTCGATATTTTTGTATCGACGCCGTCTGTGAACCTTCGTAATGGGGAATGAGATTGGGGTAACCTCATTCAACTGTTTGTGTTTGTTGTCGTTCGTTTTAACTCTGTTGATTTTGAAATCTGGATTTCCTAGTTTAAATAAAACATTCACACACTTACATTTTGAACGTAGTCATCGTCAGTGAGCACTCCCTCACTGAGCCACTCTTCTTGACCCTCCTCCAAACCTTCTTCTTCTTCAGGCTCTAAATACTGCAATGAAATAAATTAATTGTTAATTTTGAATACAGTTTTCAAAGTCAAAGTCAAAGTCAAAATCATTTATTTCAATTAGACCCATACAGGCACTTTTGAACGTCAACGTCAACTTTAAAGATATAAAGTGTCAGTCTGTCGGTCAGTCCTCTTAGTGAAGCTATTTGCTTCATTTCCCTTATCTTTCCATGGGTGTCTATTGTACATTCTATAGTTATCAAGCTTGTTCTTTATAGAATTTATACATGTCATAACTATGTATAAAGTATATAAATAAATTGTGGTCACACTATGCCCTGCCCAGGAAAACGTCAACTTTACACTTTTTCAAGTTTTTTTTTTAATTTCCACATATGTATAATTTAAGACCAAAATTAGCCAAATTGGTAAAAACATTGTTGAGTTTATAACAAATAATAATATAATGAAAAGTGCCATTGGTTTTTATATATTGAGTGGTAAATGTGGATGTTTACCATCTTACAGAGACTGAATAGTAGTTCCCTCTGACAAATTCAAACTTTTAATAATTATTATCAACTTAAAGTGCTTACTGCTAAGCGAAGGTCTTTCTCACATGGAGGGGTCTTGTCTCGCTCTCCCAGGCAGATAAGAGCATTGCATTATTAAAAGTTTGTGTCAAGTATGGCCATTATGGCAAACCACTCTTAGGTAATAATGTACTGTGGCCTCGGCTTGAAGCAGATTAGTTTTTAGTCAGTAATAGTCTCCTAGAGTGGAAGAAAACATTTGATGATTTTCTACACATGTGAAAACGCCTTTATCAAAGTCAAAGTCAAAATCATTTATTTTAACTAAACCATAAATAAAATAGGTACTTTTGAAATGATAAAATAGAATAAGCTGTCAGTCTGTTCAATCCTATATATCAGTTGCTTCTTGCTTAGTACTGTTATACACCCACTTAATAGTACTAAGCTCTATATATATATATATTATATATATACATCAGTTTTAATCTATGACAAGCAGTTTTATAGGCACCAACAATTTTGAAGTTTTGATAGAAATCAGTGCTTCAAACAAGATCTATGGCAAATTTTAAATCTTATACATATCTGAATAACTCTTTAAAGTATGAAAATCATGATGTTATGTCATAAATTAAGGATTAATGCGGTTTTGTGTCCACAATGCACATTAGTAGAGTTGAAACTAAAGTATTTTAGAGGAACAACAGTATAATGTTTCGTTTTTATTTTCGATGTTGGTATTTTAAGTGTATAAAGTATATTCTAGGAGAAACCGGCAACTAAATCGTGGAATAATAAATAAAACAAAAGTAAATGAATTACTAAATTCGAACTTACTTCTTCCTCTTCAAATTTCGACATCTTCGTCGGTGGCTCTTCGACATCAGACATTATAAACTCAAAATAAAATAAAACGAAAACACGTAACTTAATTTATCACTTACAAACATGAAAATAACATAATAAAACACGATTAACGTAAAATTATTTTATTGGCTTTGATCGGATATAACCTCAAAATCAATAAAATTACGAACGTTCCATAACTTAATTATGTTTTGTCTCCTTCCTATCAACGTTGTTAGAGTAGGGAAGAGTAAGTAAATGTTAAATATTTTAAAATTATTTACTGGAACGCAAAACGACGCTAGCAGTGTTGTGATTGTGACAGTTGTCAACAAAATATTCATTCATTTGTTCAAATGTCTCATAACTCGTTCTCTAGTAGGGTGACTACAATTCATATTATCATTCAAAATAATCCTTAAAATTGTATTGAAATATGGCGTTATAAAACAAAATATAATATTATAGAGAATGAAAGTTGATAAAGAAACAAAATAAAAATTATGCGGTTTTTTTTTGCCGTGTTTGTTGTTGGCCGTTATTACCTACTCCCGATGGTAAACGATGATGACCTACATTACAAAGGAACAGTCACTGTTTTAACGAACTTCTGACAACATAATACGTGATCAAGGGTTGGAAGTATGCTCTTGGCTTAGGTACCTTGAGGATCGTTTAGAAAATAAGATCGTTTATTCTTAAGCCTTCTTCTTTAAAATTTAAATGAATGAACTAGCCATCCACTCCTTACATTTTTTAGCCTTGCCGGTAAATATACTAATTACTTCAAAATTCAGAAGCGAACCGCTAAGTAGTGGAATTATTCACCGGAGTCTAATGTTCCCCGAATGGAAATATAACCTGGGTGTCTTCAAGGCCCGAGTGAATAGGTTACTTATAGGTAGGTATGCTCCATCGTAGGTCGCATTATCGTTTACCACCAGGCGGATAGTACTAAGTAGTCAAATGTCTAGCCATATCGAAAAAATAATAGTAGTGTAATGTGTGCTGGAAATCGAACAAGTTGACAGGCCACCGCGCCAACTGTGCATTCAAATAAAATTGACCCCAGGCAGCTTCAACTCAAAAGAAACAACAAGGAAAAAACAAACAACGTACAATAGACATTTATTTATTTATATCAATAAAGAAATTTTCATTATTTACAATTTTAATTCACAATATTTTTTTTCTTTTATCAACTAAATACAAGCGCACACGAGTACATACAACATACAACTGACTAAGCTAGACTTTCTAACGCTCATACGTTGATCACTACGAAATAAATCTAAAATACCACTAAAAAATTCAAGAGTAAATATGCAGTCATGTGCGCTTGTGTGCAATTTTATTTTAAGATTAATAAAGCAGTCTATATTTTATATTCTTCATACTGAACTTACGCAATGACAGCGTCATGGAGAGATAAGGTACCATAAAAGTCGAGAAGCAAAAATGTATTTTGATTTAACTCGTGTAAAAAACTAGAATTTGTTCTATATTTTAATGTTATATGCTGCTAAAATAATTAGATTTATACTGTGTTATATAAATAGTGTTATACTATTATAGGTATTATAAATAATGCATATTAAAATACTATACTTCTTTAATATGAACAATATCTACATACAATATAAATTTTATTAATGTAGGTAATAAGTATTACAATAAAGCTGGAGTTCGATTTTTTGTTGAAGTGTAATTTTTGTTAATGCCACAGCTGAAAGTGGTGACAACGGCGACGTCATAAATTGTCTTTCAACGATGCAGCAAATGTATATGGTTGATAATCTATTTGTATATATAAATATTTTCACTACAAAGTAACCAAATTATCTTCAGCATCTGACATAATGCTACCAAATTAGCCCTCCTTGTCAGCAATTCAGCCCGGTTTGTTTATTTCTAGATTTTCAATTGTACCTATTTGTTTTAATAGGTTTTGTTATTTTTGTGGGTTTTTGGATATTTGAAGATTGAGAATCACATCTCAGGCGTTGTTTCTGTGAGGCCGTGGTATCACTCAGGTTGAACCGGCCCATTCATGTCGAACCATGGCTCTTACTTACAATTATTGCCACGAATTCATCAGTTGGCTTTTTTTGTATTAGTTCTTTAGTCACTTGTTAGTAACGATTCTAAATGTATTATCTTTATTGACGCGCCAAACTAGTGATATACTCTACTGACCTATAGTTAAGAAAAGTCTATGCTAGATTTAGAATATATAAATTTCACGGCTGTTTCAAAACAAGCAGCAATTTGTACTGACAGTTCTCACTACATAAATAATATTGCTTTTAGTTTTATAACCTCGTGACATATTGCATAATTTATAATCTAGTCTAAATTGGAAGAGTGGTGGAAGATATTTAAGCTAATACCAAATGATCTTCTTCAATTGTTCTTAGAAACTATAAACAAACACGAACTGGAAGCTCTCTGTTTATTATACGATTTTCTTCATGTTTTATCTAAATAAAACCTAAGCAGTTAATACAAAAAATACGAGGCTTTTAACGAATAAGTGTTTTCACAGCCTGCAAGCTATGTATTTATTAGTTACGTAGTCACAAACATTGATTTTTATAATATCAAAACACATTTTCACCTCGACTTAACAGCTTTACAATCGATATTTATAATCTATAGCTTCGCACGGCACTGCTCTTAAAGATAAGACAAAAAAGTTTTAAAAATAAAACTATACATTGACATTTACAATTACAATACATTTCCCGCGCTTTTTACTCTAATTCTACATTTTGCCCGAGAAAAATCTCTGTACTATACTTGGAATCTGGACTCTCGTCTCTTGTTTTGTCAAAGTTATCTGGAAATAAAAAAAGCAACCTAAACGTACATAAAGACGTTATCGCATAAGCTTCGTCAAACTTTATCCTTCAGACCGCCTTGGACGAAAACGAAAAATAGGCTATTTTGCCAATGTCTAGCATGACCGACCAGAAAACGTCATCGCTTCGATGGCCAAGGTCTCATGGCTTTAGACGACAAACCAAATATATCTACTTAATTATAACGCTTTCTGGTCGGCTGAGCTCGACATTGGAAAAATAGCAGATTTAACGTTTGTCGTCAATACATTTATTATATAATTTCGTAATATAAATATTCATTGAATTTGAAAATCTATCGTGTTCACTCACTTTCGTGTAAGTAGGTACAAAAAAACCCAGTAACGTCAACAGATTGAATTTAATAACAATAATAATGTTTAGATAAAATAACTTATTAAAAATTATATTATAATTTTGTCACCTTTATCCATCAGAGATCAACAACAAAAAAAAACATGGCTGAGCCATAACTTTAAAAGAACACATTTTCAAAGACGTAATATTTTTTAACACACTTGAATTAGACGGAAAGAAAATTTTTTGATTCTTTTGTATTTGTGTTTCATTCCTTTTCATCTATTCACTTTAAATGTTCTTTATTCATTAATTACCTACTAATTTATTTTACGACCAATTTCGATGTTAATACTAACACTACCTATTTTATTAACAGTTTTTCAAAGGCGCTTATATCAGGAACTGCTATTCCAATTGAAAATGGTTTTAACATACATAGTTTAATTTTTCAAGAATGTTACATTATCCGTGTAAAATACGCTTGGGGAAATTGGAACATTGAACATGGCAAATACATAATACGTTATAAACACAAGAAAAGCGTGAAACGAAAGGTACAGAACAAATTAAACGTGAATGAAATTAAATAAACAAAAAACCTTAAGAGTATTGTCAATCAATACATAGGTATGTGATGTTTGACTGGTAGACTGTCCACTTTAAACATTATTAACAACAAAAATCCATTTTTATGTCACCAATGTCTTTAATTAATTTTTAACCTTATAAATCGTCATAATGTTGAAACAGAGAAATTATTGTTTTGGCGATTGATCTTTGTGGTTACTACTGTAAACCCTTGCAGAGTCATTAGTTCAAAAGCCATGTTTTGGTAATAATCCTCTATCCGAATTAATTTATAAATGAAAACATGTCTAGACGAGAGAATTAGATTAGTTGTCAACATCCTTATATTAATTAAGAGCCAAAAATAAAAAAGAAAACTAATTTAATTAAATAATAAAACTTAGCTATATACACAAAGAAAAATTTTGCGATTCAAAATAATAAAAAAGGAAAATATTTACAATTTTGATTTAATAAAAACTGCATCGTACGATATTGAACAATTCTCAATCTAAACAAATTCTAATGTAACTTAAAAATTTAATTATAATTAAAATAATAAAAAATAATTGAAAACATATGCTTAAAGAAACGAAAGGAATAATATTGTTCGAAGATTTTTCTTACTCGGCATTTAGAGCGATTTTACTCAAATGGCTCGAAGCTCGAACTGATTTAAACTCAGATAAATATTCTTTAGCACTTCGTAATGGCGTCACGAACAAAAGTAAAAAGATAAATATTTATTAAATCTCGATTTTTAACTAATTGGAATACCAGGCGATCAGTATTCAGTTATGTAACGTTGTCATTTTTATACTTTTGTGTTTAGTTATTCGTTTAGCCAATATAAATGGCATGAGTCAGCAATTTTCCGACTTAAATATTAAGTAATCATGGCTACCCTATTATTTTGCTTTTTTATTACTTCTAGATAACTTTAACAAACAGAGCTAAACTGCAAACGATTCGAACAATACATATTTCATATATTTTGTCATTTCTCTAACTGTAGGTATATCTAATATATAAATACTTATTACTTTAGTGGATAATATTTCAACAGGCATACTTTATCACGAACTTAAAAAAGACGGAATACGCGCGAATACGGCATTAGTTCAAATAATTCTGTTGCCACAAGTCTCTTCTAAGTTTTTAATAAACTTGACTGAAAGATTAATCACACGCAGTGGCGTAGCTATCATAGGGCCAGGTGGTGCCGTGCACCAGGGCCCTCGAGCTCAGGGGGCCCTCTAGCCTCAGCTTTGAAAAAAATGAAAAATTTAAAAAAATTGAAAAATTGAAGAAATAAAAAATACTTATTAAAAAAAAATCTTACACACACACGGCAGCGTGACTGTATATGAAGCGTGGCAAAAAAGTTCCACCATCGACAGAGAACTTGAAGATGAAATTCGCAAAGAAGCAT